TGAAATGCAAATTAATATGGCAGGGTGAGACACACGGAGAGCACTGGATTAGGTGAGCAAGAAAATTTAGAGATGGAAACTGAGCAAAGTATTCAGTAGTGGAAAGCAGGTGGCTGCAGACAGGATCTTGGGGACAGCAGTGAAGCTTTAACCTCTGGAACTATTAGATATTATAAATTATTCATCTCACCTTTGAATGTCCTGAAAGGATAATTTGTGCACGTTGGTACAATTCTAAAAACGAGAAACAGACAAAAGCCCTGATAACGTACTGCTGATATGTGGCGTAGAGGGATCTTAAAATAATCTTTATCCATGGATTAAGAGTTTCTGATCTAGCACTGACCTGTTTTCAGAGTATTACAAATTCATGGCACTTGCAAAAACAAGACAAAAAGACTGTAAAACAAGAGAAAAGCAGATTTACAGCAGCATAAGTAACCAAGGTAAGTTGCATTGATGAGGAAACTTCTAGCTGAAAATCATGCTTGATGAAACCACCTTCTAGTCAAGAACCCAAAGCGTGCTTGGGAATCTGCACGTAGAAAGTGTCTGGGCTTTTTAAGCCAAGTGTGAAAATGTTTATTTCCATTAGAAGTGAAAAATGCAGACCTCCAGATGCCCTCTATAATTTCTCCCCACCCTGTCCCCGAAGGAGGAGGAGCCAGGGTGAGATGGAAACACAAAACCTGCTCTAGTCCTTGAGTCTAAATTAATGCTGCTGTTTTTAAGGGCTGAATAAACATTGGGAGTGAATGATTTATGTGCACAGAAAGCCAGGGAAATTTATGCTGACACGACTGACTTTGTGAACAAAAAGAAAGTTGTGTATCTCCAGGACTACGACCATCTGAGGTGTTTCATCATTACTAAATTCATATGGGAAAAAAATAATGATTAAAGCAAATTAAGTGCCAGAAAGTGATTTTTCTTTCATTGCCCAACAGTAATATGTGGGCTTGATTATTTGTTTTGGCTTGGTTTAGGGTTTTTTGCATATAGTAATAGAGTTAGCGTGAAATTTCATCTTGGTTTGAAGTGCCTGACATCTATATCAAATGATAAATAACACAGACTTTGGCTTAGAAGTTCAGTATTTCATAATTTTGTCTGTAAAAACATTTTCTATGGTTGATAAGGGAAATATGAGACACCAGAGCAATAAATTTTGTGCTCATCTTTGCAGTAAAATAATAATTACTTGGGTAATACAGTCTTTTTTATATATATACACATGTCAAGGGGCCTCTAGCTACAAATGTGAGCTGGCTGAAGTGTCGAATCCTCACGTTGTTACCCTTGAACACTCACAGTGGAGTGAGCAGGACCTTGCCTTAATGTGGGTTGATGAAAGCAGCCTTTACACACTGTGAAAGATTTGCAGAGGGGTGATAAACCCTCGCAGACTGTGAGGAGGGTTGCACTCCGGCCTTTCGGGCGGCTTGGGATTGTTGTCGGATGAGCTCAACTTCCAAAAACGCCCCAGAGATTTGGTAGTGGAGAAACCCAAGGATGCAGCTGCCAGCGTGGTGAGGGAGCGATGGCTGCGAGCGGGGCCAGCCTGGGGGTGTGCAGGGCTCAAGGAGCCCAGCTCGACTTGTGGGGTCTGTTGAAGGCAGCACTTCATGCTCCATCTCTTACTTTGACCCCTCTGGGGATGTCCACTTCTCAGTCAGAGCAATCTGGGCTCTCAGATTCTCAGGAATAAATAGTTTAAAGTATTTTTAGAATCATAGAGGTACGAACACACCTGTTCTTTTGACCCGTTGCAGGGGAGAAGGCTGGTTTGAAGGGTCAGTGTCCACGTAGTCCATAATGTGACACTGCAGTGTGTGCAGCTGTGTTCTTCCATTTTCCTGGTGTGTTTGTGTCCATGGCTCAGTTTGGGCAGGCTTTTACTAGCAACTGGGAGTGAGATGAAAGTGCCAGCAAACAGCACGTTCAGTGGCTGGGCATGGAGCGGCCAGTGGGGTTTATTTACAGGACTGCCTTACACGTTTTTCACAGCAGCCACACCAACCCCACTTCTCTGCATTCAGAAGCTTGAAGACGTCATGGCGAAAGGCACCACCATTTCCACCCAGTTACTCATCTGACAGGAGATTCTTGTCTAGTATGTGAAATTGTAGAAGCCCACAGCTGGCAACTATAAATTCCTGCCTTAATGGGCCCTGTCAGACATGTAGCACAGGGCAGCTCTGCTGGGAGGGAACCTGAGACAGGATGCCAAAGGGAGGGGTGTTTCCATACAGCACTGATCTCGGGAAAGCATTTGTGTGCTTGGCACGGGACCTTCAGGCCTCTCTTCAGGTCTGTGCAGGGAACACTCAGGGAGAGGGGCTTTGCAATAATGCAGAAGTGGGTTCCCCAAGTACGTGGTCCTGTAGTGGTGACTTGCAGAAAGTGCCTCTAAAAGACTAGACTGGGTTTTTGTTCTTGTCTGGCCCATCACAGCTCTAAAAGTTGAATCAATTCACTCTCCCAAACTTAACCAAAGCAGCGGTCAGTTGGGTAGCTGAGTGACTGCTCACTTCAGAGCTATGCAGATGTGATTGTTCTAACTCATAACAGATTCTTACTTAATTGTAGTTCCCTTTTGCTGTATAATTTTTACTGAGGTAATCAATTTGCTGTTGTTCTGCTACAGACATTCACTGTCAGTTGCCATTGCTACTTTCAGACATTTTGAGGGTTTTTTAGATCTTTTTTCCTCCTCCTGTTTTTGCCTTTCCTTGTATTTCTGCACTATGATTTGCAGTCATGGTTTAGGCAAGGGGAGCTGTATTAAGCACAGTTGCCTCTTCCTCCTGCCCATGTTGGCACCAGCCTGTGCTGTGCCTGTGATTAATTATACTACTCCTCTTTTTTTTTCCAAGACGTGAAAGAGGGTGCATCTCTCTGCAACTACTGAGTGTTCTCTACATCTGTCTCACAAATAACGGAGGAAGCAGTAATGCCTTCAGCTATTGATTTAATAACCTGTTCAAAGTTGTACAGCAAAGCCCTGGAAAAAAAAGTTACTGAGAATTTGTGGTGTTAAATTCTTGAAACATAAAACCAGGACTGGACTCTGCCTCGAGCTCATGTGTTCAGCACAGAGGGTAATTTGTGAGGGGAAAAAAGCTTTATTTTGCAGGCACTGAAGGTTGCAGTCACTTTCTGAATACTGTTATGTCTGACAGGTCATCCCTGGGTTCAGCTGGTGCTTCTCTCTATCCAAATGATGATTAGGGAATACTTTAGATAATTTAAAGTACTAAAAGGCAGCTGATCTAAAAAGAGTTCTGTGAAATACGGTTTAGAGTAGTCAGGAAATTAATCACTTGGAGAACCCCTGACGTGTTCTGTGTTTTGAACCTTCTCATAATTCCTCTGAGTTCTGCCAGGAAATCAGAGGGGGAAATCCTAGTGTAGCTAAATTGAGAGAAGATTGTGGATTCTACCCCACAGCTGAATTGCCAGTGGCAGGCACTGCGTTCGGTGAGGAGTTGCCAGGCAGACTTGTACCTACGATTAGCATTTCTCATGAGCAAGGACTTTGTGTTGGGCGGCACCGGCGAGAGGCTGCACACTCCTCGGGCAGCTTTCTCCTGGCCTTCCAGGAGTCTGGAAGCTGACTGTCCACTTCCAGAGCTCCCTAGCAGTGAAAGAAGAATGGCTTTATGGGGTTTTACAAGGGCAGTGTTAAACTCACAGCTGGGCTGTACCGGTTGAACATTGAGTGCTGCCAGAGCAGGCCAGGAGGCAAAGGGTGCAGGAGCAGGGAATGCAGGCGTGTTCCTGCTGCTGGGAATGTCTGGAGGTGCCCATGGTGGCCTGTGCTCTGGGCAGGTGGGCAGTGGGAGTGCAGTCGGAGGTGACGGGAACAGCTGCACACACTCCTGCCCTCTGCTTGGCCTGCAGCAGTGCCCTCTGAAACATCAACTTTTGCATTTTCCAAACAGATTAATCAGTGTGTCGTGTCTCTGATGCAGCAGGTTTATTTTCAGACACATCTATAAGTTGAGGTTTTTTTCTGCTGTTTAAGAAGTACCATCAAAAGAGACCTTTTGCAAGAAATTGTCTCCCTGTTAACAGCAGATTTATGGCTACCAACCAATACTGTCCTAATAATGTATCCTGTTCAAACTTGGTATTTATGTATCAAAAAATACTTTAAAAGCAAGTAAATTAAGTACCGTGTTAATATAAATGTCAATGAAAATATCTGATCTAAAGTTCATTAATATTCAAAAGAAGCTTCTGAGAATGTGGTAGAGGAAGGACTGCATAATAGCTACACGTTGCCTATATTTTGTTTGGAAAATGTATACCTTAAGCATTTCAGCAGTTGAAGCCCAGCTTGGGAGAACCCATAAAATTATATTAATATATGAGAAGAAATGTTAAACTTGGATTACTTACTTAAGGTGTTCTTTTTATTGTTCAGATGAAATTTTTTTTAACCCACAAGAATAGAGTTCTGGATTGGACCTTGTGTGACCCAGAACAGCTCACATAAATGTTAGTTATTACAAAACAAATAAAACCTTCCTTTCTAAAACTTAGAGTGGGCAGTGCCCTCATCTCAGCAAACAGTTCTTCCTAAATGTAAAAAAAAAACCCCACAGATTCTGCTTTTTGTTGCACCTGCTTGGATGTTCTCCCTCAGCCTTTATGTTGTTCAGTTCCCCACCATAGCAGTTTACCAGGTCCCTGTAAGGTCTGTTTGCCTGCTGGCATGTGGAGTTTGTTGTCCGTGTGTCTCACGTATGAACAATCCCTTGAGATCAAAAGCTTTTACAGAGAACAACCACGAGCAGTTCCTTGCTCAAATAGTGGCCTCAATTCTTTATCCCATTCTCAGGGTAATTATAGCCCCAAAATTGCAAAGTAGGAGTGGGAGTTCATACAAATATTTGTAGGACTAAGAGAGAGGAAAAATGGAATACCAAGTTCTGTGCTACGAAGTGGTAGGAAAACCTCTGGGGCAGTTTTTCACCGGCATGTTTTAATTTTAGGAGCAGGTCCCTGTTCCTGTGTATCACCCAACTCCAAGCCAGACCCGGCTGGCCACGCAGCTGACGGAAGAAGAGCAGATCCGGATAGCGCAGCGGATAGGCCTTATCCAGCACCTACCTAAAGGAGTCTATGATCCCGGGAGAGACGGCTCCGAAAAGAAGATCAGAGAGTAAGTCACAGTCACACGTGGCTGTTGCCTTGCTTTGTGATACTGCCCTGGGAAACCCGGTCTTGCCGTTCTGTTTCTGCCTTATTTTATTTTCAGGGACTGTAATTTAATGTAGCTCTCTGAAAAGGAAAATGGCCACGCAGGAGGCTGATGTTATGAGTGGCATCCCTGCCTGTGACAGCGGGGTTGAATTCAGTGAGCTTTAAGGTCCCTTGCAACCCAAATTATTCTGTTATTCTAAGGCTCTTGCCTTTCTCCTATGCAAGGATACCCCTCACAGTATCCACAAATACTAAAATCATCCAGGAGTAGATAGTACACTGTTTTTCATTTCTGGTTTGCTAACTGCAGCTTCAATTATTTTTTATTTTTCCCCCCAGATGTGTCATTTGTATGATGGACTTTGTTTATGGGGACCCTATCCGATTTCTGCCGTGCATGCACATTTACCACCTGGACTGTATAGATGACTGGTTGATGAGATCCTTTACCTGTCCATCCTGCATGGAGCCAGTGGATGCAGCACTGCTTTCATCGTATGAGACTAACTGAGCCAGGGTTTCTCTACTGAACCTCCAAGGAGACCATCCACTTCAATGGGTTTGATCCTTTTGTCATTCAGCCCAAAGAGCCAGGAATTAGGAATTAAGATCATGCACAAAGTATACATTTCCTAATAAATAAATAAATACAAAAATATTCCTGAATGGCTGCAAATATTGGAAAACATAGTATTTTAGAGACTATAGAAAAGTAGGTTGTTATTTTTAATGTAAAGCCTTGACCCACCATTGTCTTTTAATGTTTGTTCTTACACCCATATATAGGAATTGTGTAAAGTGTTACAGCAACTGTAAATGTTCAGACTGCGTGTATCCAATTTTATTAGCAGCAAGATAAGAGTATTTTTTTCCTAAATAAAGTAACCAGTTTTGTTCTGATTCTTTTCACAAGTCCTGGCATTTGGGTCAAGGCTTTATTGAAATCTACATTTTATAACACTGGCACAAAGAAATAGTTTTAAGCTTGTTTGCACAGTTCTTTTTCTTTTTTTTTTTCTTTTTTTTTTTCATTGGAGATGGAATTCATTGCCTTAGGTCTTTTTAATAGTGTATTGTTATTGTTGGGCTGGCTCTATGCTTGAAAACCAGTTTATTTATAACCTGTTAAAAGTGCTATATTTTGTTTGCAGTTAGGAATATGCAGACTTCAAAGTGATCTCCTAGCTTGTAAGCAAACTGAGATGCATTATCCCTTTTCTACTAGTGATGCAGAAGATGAAGATATAAGACCTGCAGTGAAACTATGGTTTCATGGGTTTTTATAACTTCCTTTGGTCTTGATGAAATAACAGTCCCTAAACTTTAATATGTGACCTTTAACTTGATGAGATTAAAAGTGGGCCGCATGAACAATAGTTAAGCTGCCATAACTGAAAAAAAAAACCCACAACATCTATTTGGAACTAATGTAGTGTTAGTATTGATCACTTATTCTACTTTTTTCTCCCTAAAAATGGTTGTCTTGGATCATAGCAAATGGATACTGCATCTCTCGTTCTTGTAGTCCTTAGGTTATCAGAAGTTAAGAATAAACATACTGTATCTCAGTCTCCTGTATTAAATGTATCTGTTGAGCCCTGCTGGCTGACACATCAGTCCACCAAACGGGAATGAACTCAGAGAGGAGAGAATTAGACTTTGTTCTGCACATAAATGCAAAGTTTATATAAACCCAGACTGTCTAGAGTAGCAGTGGAGGGGGCAAACAGTCCTGCTATAGCCAGAATGACACAATTAGCTGATTCCTGTAGCAAACAGTGTGTGCTTGTTAAGAGAGGCTCTAGCAAAGACTGTAGCTGTAAAGACCTTTTTCCACTTAGCATGATTTTTTCCTTTTTCTTCCCCCCTTGATGTACCTACTGTGACCTTTACACACTCAGTGCCACCCTGATACAGTGAGAAGCCCTGGTCTTGTGAAATGCAATCTCAAGTTAACCACAGCAGATTGGGGGATGTTCTTGGTTGTGTTTCAGCTACAGTGTGAGTACTTGATACAAAAAGTTGTGTTTAACAACCCACGTCCTTTGTGGACTTAGTGCATTTACAGTATGGGAGAATTGTGCAGGTTATGGATAACTGGTCAGCAGAATGGAGTCAACATGTTTGTTTGTTACTGCTGCAGCTGACAGCACCCTGCTCCCTTAGAGAAGAACTCCAAGGAGCAGTCAAAAGGAACTGAAAACACTCTGCAGTTCTAGATTCACTCAAATGGCCACACATTTATCTGGACACAATGTTTTGCTGAATTCATACATAATTACATGGATCAAGATCTGGGAAGAGAGACCTGAAGTTGTGCAATATCATTGTTCCTTTTCATCATTCCATGTGTGTTCCTTTGTGTCCTCCTTTCTTGTCTGTTTTTTTCAGGGGTTGGGTTCTTTTTTTTTTTTTTTTTTTTTGGTATAACAATGTCCACATTAAGTATTCATTTCTTTATCTTGTTAAAACTGGCAAATGAACAATTTGAAAAAAAAACCAGTGTTGTCATGGTGGTATTAGTCTTTTATTTATTACAAGACTTGATTAAGAAAGATTTAGAAGAAAGGAAGTGATGGATTACTGAGCTGAATGCTTTCCTAGGCACTCTGTACAGCTGAACTTTTAACACTGATACACTTAGTGGGCTAAAGGAAGAAATTCCTTTCATTAAAATACTTGTTAAATAGCAAAAAGGTGTGAAGAGCTAAACCTAGAGCAGATTCCACAAAAACATTCCAAAAAATTCAAATTTTACCTTGAAGACAAGTACGTAAAGATAACAAAGAAATCAAATGATTTTTCAAGTTTTCAGGTGCAGTGCTGTTCTGGAGGATTTCTAATTCAAAGAAGAATTGATCCAAACTTAATGCAAAATAATATATAACCTGAATTTTAGCTACAGTTGTGGAACCAGAACTGTGTCTTAATTCTGCCATCTGTAAGATGATTTACCGCCTGTCTCAGAGGTGTCTAATAAATTACTCTTCAAACACATTAAGTCCATTTACAGCACAGCTGTTTCCCAACCAGAGCCTGCTGGGAAGGGCTGGCTCTGACTCACCTGGACCTCTTCACCCATAGCTCTTCTTATGCCAGGGCTGTATGTTTTGGGGTGGGCAGGCCCACAGTAAAATGCCTGCAAAGTGATTTGAAGGAAAAAACCCAACAAAACAAAAACCCCTCTTACAGCTGCTGTGTGCAGCTACCTGAGTTTGCAGATGCCTCTTGCATGCTACAGGAATTACCACTTGAATCGATAGCCCTTATTACTTGTTGGTAGTTCATTTTGTAAATCTGGGAGAGAATCAGAAAATACATAAACAAACAAAAAAAAAGGCAGCCCAGAGAATTTCTTTGTGAGGAGCCGGTGCTGTAGAAGGGCTTGAGCCACAAAAGGGTTTAACAGTTCCTGCAGTCCTGCAGTTCCCCAGGGCTGAAAGCAATTCCGTGTTTGGAAGGCTGACAGTGTCCTTGCCTTGTGCAGTGGCAAGGAGGGTACATTTCTGGGATAAGGGATTAGGAAATACCTGAACTTACTTCAGTTGCCACAGTTTCAGGGCTTTGACATTTCCTGTCCTTGTGCAATCGTGGTAAAGATGAAAATTCCTCTGAGTTAGACTGTCAGTAAAATAAATAGCGACATGGCTGAAACCAAACGTACAGGGCCCCTCAGCAGTTAAATCCTGGATTAAAATGGACTCAGAAACAAAGTGGATGCCAGCTGATTATACACACAGTTTGTTACAGACACCACATTTTATTAAAAGCATACATTCGAGTTGACAACCTATAAAACACGTGAATAAGATCTGTTCAGAAGAACCCTTCTTGACTTAATACCCAGAATAAAAATTAGTTTCAAGGATTAACTTCTGCTTTTATATAGCACTGAACTTTGAAGAACATAATTTATGCTAACCATCCTTTGCAGATTATCTTGCATTTAAACCTGTTCTGGGATAAGAGTTCGGGGCTTTGGAATTCTCGGTATGAAATGCAAAGTTAATGCCTTGTGATAAAAGAACAGTTTAAACATACTCTGCAAAAGCATCTTTTTGATTTAAGCAAAAGAAATAACTACATTTCCATGCTAGCAACTGATTCATTACAGCATCCACTCTGCTCTGATACTTTGCTAAGAAAAGCTGCAGAGAGGAGTCTGTAATGAAAAAATTCCTTGTGCAAAAGGCTGCCTGTGTTCCCAGCAGCAGAGGTATGTGCTTACTCAGCAAGAGGGGCCCAGCCACACCAACAGCACACAAAGAGCCCCCAGCCCTCCCTTGTCCTCTCAGCTGGAAAACAAGCAGCAGTAACTTCATAAACCTGCTCTTTGCAGCATCAACCCCTACAAAACATTTGTCTTTATTTCAAATAAGGCGTATCGACACCTCTACTCGCAACAGTGAGTGTTCCATTCACCACACACATCACACTGGCTGCCCACACTGAGCACTTTTCCTGACCCCACTTTTAGTCCCCAGAAGTACTTTGGCCGGGTTCTCACTGCACAGTGACAGACAAATTGTTCAAAAAGCTTTGGCTGCAGAGCCTGCTACCACTGTGAGTATGCACACATAGATGTTTTGTGTATATCTATATGCTCTTTGTGTGTGTGTGTGACAGATCAGACACTGGCAGACCCTTAGCAAAGGCAGCATGCATGGAATTCCTGCTGTTCCTCAGAAATATCAAGCAGTACTTGCACCAGTGATGAGCCCAGCATCACACAATGGAAACCTAACCCAGGACCCAGGTATCCACAAGCCAGAAGAATAAAAGCCAAAGCAAATGTTTCACAGCAACAGTCAAACCACTGGAATAATCTCCCCCAGAGACGTGTTAGATCCCAGCAAGGTGCTGGGCCACCTTGCCTGGACTGTGCTTTTGGCAAGAACAGCTGGACCTTGAGGTCCCTTCAACCTGGTATTGTACCATTCCATGACTGAAATATCAAAACACTAACTGGCCCTGATGTTTGCTTCTAAAAAAAACCTCTGCAGCTGCCCAGCAGAGGCTGTGTGACCTTGGTAGCGATGACAGCAGATGAAGATGACATTGAACATGATCCCTGTGTTCTGTGACCCTCCAGAGTTGCTTCACCTCCCCACAATGATTTACTGAGCGCCGCTGACCACTGGAGATACAGGAGCAGAGGCAGCTTCAGGCACCTCCCACCAGCACCTTCACCAAAACCTCGGGAAAAGCACCACGTTCATGAAGCACCAGCTCATTGTAGAACTGCACCTGTGACATTATGGACACCGAGCACGGCCCCTGGGGCTCCAGCACTGCAGACAAACATCCTGTAGAGCTCCTGCACTAAGGAAGTTGTTCCTTACCTCCACACCCTGTGTGCTGCAGGATAAAGAAACAATGAGAGAAAACCTGCCCAGAATATTGCAGCCTCTACTTATCTTCTCTTTCTCACCACATCACTATGGCACTTTTAGGCCACAGACCTGAAACTGCTTTTGCTGTACTTGACTAACACAAGATAAACTTTTTTCTCTCTCTCTCTTTTTTTTTTTTTTTTAACTTGAATCAGCCCATAAAGAACACATGAAACACAACAAACTGCTCTAGGTTGTATTCTTTCTGTAAAACAGTCAAGGAGAGAGAAAGCAAATAGGCTTCATTGCAATGCATAATTCTAAATAAACATTTTGCCTGTATTTAGCCAGCAATGGAAGTAAGTAGGTCTAGAGATTTAAAAACCCCAAAAAATAATGGAGCCCAGTCCTACAGAGGCATGGTTGAATTTGAGCTAACGCCACACAGAACTTTCCCACAGTGCAATGCAGGTATTTATTAGCTCTATGCTGTCCATAAATCTTGGAGACAGGGATTGACTGGGCATGTTTCTAAATGAAAGTATTTGTGGGGGTTTTTGTTTTTTTTTTTTTTTTTTTTAAACACCTGAAGCAAACCTAGATAGCATCTTTAAAAAATACTTCACGATGACAAATCATTCAATTAAAACACTTGCTGCTACACGCTTTGCACATAATCTGCCACCAAAATGTATCTGCAGAACATAATGAGAAAAGAAGCAAGTTCATTTCTAGCCTGTTCAGGTTTCCCGATCTCGTTCATCAGTGACGTTGCCAACCATTAACCACTTTCCTGTACAGCAGTAAACAACATGACTCACCTCTTTATCTTCTCCTCTTCCTCCCAGAGGGGAAACTGCATTCAACACGTTGCTTTGGTCATTTCATACACATTTGCTTTTGCTGCTGTGTTTTTATGCTTAAGAAGGCAAAGAAATGCATCTTGCAGGTGCATCTGGAGGCTGAGTGTTGTGTTTAAAGTCATGGGAGTGCCTTTTGCATTCTGGGGCTGACCTCTAGGAAAGCCCTGTGTCCTACAAAAGAGTCTTGTACTTGTCTCCTTCTTGATGCTTCTGTGGGGCCAGAGGCACACAGGCTGTCACAGCTGTCAGCCCATGAAATTTTAGCAGCCTTGGATCCAGGCCTCAGATAACTAAAAATACCAAGGCAGTCAGTATAGAATTTAATGCCAAAACCAATGTGAAATGGGAGGAAATGATATGGTCCTGTTCTGTGCTGCTATATTTTATAAAATGCAGTTTCCTAATCAAGTTTTGAATGTGTAAACACCCTGAGGCCAGGCACAGTTAGGAGGGGACAGTCTTTAAACTAGCCATCCATGACAGCATGTGCTAATTGCAGTTCACAACAGAACTGCCTATCAGTAATCAAAGGCTCCTATGCCACTGGTTTAGCTGAGCAATCCTAAGTGGGTGTTTCCAGATAACAGTAGTTGTATCATGGTTGTGGCTTCATCAAAATCCCTTCTAATCAGTCATCGAGAAAACCTGTGACCAGCTTCAGCTTCAGCTCCAGCCCACCATTCTTCATCCAACAGGTTCCATCTCCTGTTATTTCCAGGAGCTGGGAGTTGATGCAGATGCACCTCATCAGATCCCGGTGGGAGCTGCTGGCTCTTCAGCTCATCTCCCCCCTCAGTTTAAGGAGACACCCTACATACAGGGATTCCACATAACCCATCTGATGACAAGTGATGCTCATTTCATTGCCTTTCCCTTCCTGCCCAGCACCACTTTCAGGTGACAGCAATATCTCCCATGGCCACTGCTGCTGACATCCAGGAGCATGAATTTCTGCCCCTCCTCAGTTACTGGGAGGAAACTACTAGTTTAATTAACTAGTGTTAATTAAAACAATATATAGAAAAAGAAATATAGTTTGCAGGTTTTATGATAAAGGTCTTACCAAGTGCAGAGAACTCTTTTCTGGCATATGAGTTAGTAATTGTTGTCTTTGGGTAACAGCTCTGGCTTTGCTAAGGACCAGGAAGAGCTGATTGTGGCAATTGTTGGCTAAAGCCTGGTGCACAGAGAAGTTTCTCAAGCATCACCCAGTTCATTCTTTGCAAGCAGAAGGAAGTGCTCCTTCTGCAATTAGGGTGTTGACTATATCCATCTGCAGTACTGCTTCCATTTCCTGAATCTTAGGCCATGCCCCAGTCTCTGATTTGTGACTCCATTAAATATCCGCTATTTTCCACTAAATGAACACACTGAACTCTGAGGCTGTTTTGAGACCTCACACCAGTTGTGCTTTCCCTAATTCACTGCACTCAGGACTCCAGGCTGATGAAGCAATTCCCTGGTCTGGAGAGCTGCTCCAGGCAGAACACAGCAGCTTCAGGAGGAGCAGTGGAAAAACAATTCCAGTATCGACCTTCCAGCCCAGACTGACACCACGGAGTGTTTGATCCCCGCCACGGAGGAGCACCAAATGAAGTGAACTGATGAGCAAAGTCATGGTGGGCAATTCAAAATGCAACACGCTGGAAAACTTAACACAGTGACAACGTACCAGACCTTCCATTCATCCTTTAGCAAGCAAGGTGCTATTTTCCTTCAGTGAATTCACACTATCAGTCCATAGATCCTTGTTGCATCAGGAAGGCGATAACTTCCTCTTGCTTGGGAGCCAAAAAGAGTGAAAGATCACAGTGAACTACGAAGTCCTCAGCTGAAGCTGGAAATCAGGTCCACAATGTCACTAGAGCTGGTGTTGAACCAAAGCTGACCACAAAAATCTTCTGAAGGCTATGAAAACCTTAGGAAAATCCTGGGATTTTCATTGCTCCAAAGCATCAGGGAAGCTGGCTGTGTATTGCATGCACTGTATGTAAGATCAGGGGAAACTCTGTTGTGGCTGAAATTTCAAAGAGGTTTCAGTGGCCTTGAGAAATGAATCTACACTCAGAAGGATTGTTCACTTTCTGCAGAGTACAATTTATGCTAATTTTCACGTGGTATGACTTGCTTAGGAGATGCTAAGGCTGCCAAAATATTTGAAAAGGATACAACTAGAAAAAGAGACGTTATATGCAATAATAGAACAAGAAACTTTTTTATTCTATACAAAGAATGAGTTTTTACACTGAAGTTCTGATGTGCTGCGTGTAAATAGCATAACTGTTTATAACTGAATTTTATCTGGATTGAGAAACTTATCTGAACTGAATTTATCTGAGAAAGTCACTTTATAAAACACATTCTTCACCTATGATTTTGACTTGGAAAGACTTTTATAAAGGGTGTCTATTTTCAAGACAATGCAAGTTCTCCTTGTTGAGGAACAGGTGGTTCTGTCTCCTTGCATATTATTTTGCAATTAGAAAACAATGTAATTTCCTTAGAGGAGGTAAAAGCAGAACTACAAACTGTCGATTTATGTTGGGAACAATCGCTTTATAAAGGACATTCACTGTGAGGTACATAGAAATGAATCTTCCTGGCAAACATCTCCATTGGAGAAAAAGGGCTGTCAGAAGACCTCCCATCTCCACCCATCAGAATGGGTCATGGGGAAGAAGCTCTTTTGCAAGGGAGGTAGAAGTGTGTCCCAAAAACCCACAGGCCTACAAACATGGAGCCAGCCTGGAGAACAACAGATACAGCAGTTCCACGGCAGCCAGCACTGGGAAGCAGCTCATTGCTCTATTCCCAAAGCCAGTTACATGGAAAATCTCCCAAAAGATCAATAAAGAGCAAAAAGACAAAGGGCTCCTTTGTACCAAGGGAACCTGCTGCAGCCCCAGCTTCTTCACACAGGAAGCATCGGCCTCTTTCAACATGGACATCTCCAGTTGGGCAACCCTAAGAACACTCCTTTTAAGAAGGAATGGAGTGTCACATAACCCCTGGATGGCTGGGCAGCCAGAGCAATATTGCTGTTTCTTCAGTGACCTTCAAGGACTTGTGCTTTAAATTTGATATAAACTTCAGATCATGGTTCACTGCGGCAAAAGCATTTTCTAAGAACTTTCCTTGGTCAAGGAAGAAGTGATGCAGTTTTATACTGTCATCACCTTTCACCCCCACAATCCTCAGTAAATTATTCAGCTGTCTCAAGCAGCAGACTTGACAGGAAAGCCAAATTAAAGTCAAGGCACCAGCATAAGGGAGACCATTCTTTTCACCAGCAAGTTTTTTTAAGAAGCAAAATGCAACTGGTAAAAGAGAAACTTCCCACACACAACTAGAAATGCCCAGGATCCAGAGCTCCTCCCTGATGTGTTTCATCTGCATCAAGATTTTCTCACACCATTCCAACAACGCAGGTACTGGGAAAAAGCGATGCTTCCTCCTCAACTGCTGGCAGCGTGGATCCAAACAAAACATTTAGAGCTAAATGAGATTAAATCCATGAAGTTTTGTTGTTTGGGTTTGTGTTTTTTTTCAGTTGTTCCCCTCTCTCGCTAAGCAAAGCTACAACGTAATGTTGCGAACGCAAGAAAAAGGCACGTGATTGAAAACTGAATGACACAGATGTAAGTATTCAAAAAGCCACTGCTGGAAAAACAATATTTTTCAGGGTTATATGGTTGGTTTGAGAGGTTTTTTGCCATGTTATTTACATGAGATTAACGTTTTATGCATCACCTTTAAAATCTTAAGTTATTTGGCTTTTCACTGACTTGAAAGAGAAGGAAAAATAATTCTAAAGTGTCAGTAATTTTCTGCACCAAAGTTTGCAACAAACAGGACATCAAAGAAGAAAAAGTTACGACACTGCTGAAGCTCCAGAGTGCATTCCATTTTCTGGGGCGGATTTGGCTTGGTGCAGGGCAGCTTGAATCCTGAAATGTGTCCTTGTTTCCATGGAGTAATTCTTGTAGTTTTGTCTAAAACAAAAGCAGATACACTCTGATGAATATATATATATATTTAAAACATTTTCAAGTTATCTTTGTATTACTGTTTTAAGCAAAATAACCATAGACAGCAAAAAAGCTCCTGTGCTGCCTACTCTAAAATACAAGGCATGTGTTCCTGGCCAAACAATGCAGTTCTTTGTTCTTTATTTGTAGTGCCACTGTCTGGCAATTACCAGAAAAATATAGCTTAATAAGAAATTGAATCTGGTCCACTCAATCAAAATATTGAGTCCCTATTAATTATCTGTAGCATCCAATTAGTTTACATTCAGAAATTAGGTTTTTCCCCGCTCTCAAAGTATAACTGACAGATTTGAATGCAAATATTTTCAGCATTTTAAAAAATAATTTTAATAAAGCAGACTGATCTTAATTCAGCAGAGCCCTTTCAAGAAAGTAAAGAAGGGGAGAAAAAAAAGAGAGAGAGAAAGAAAGAGAAGCTGTTCTGAACCAGAAGAGGGAAACACTCCCATCTCCATCCTGTGGTTGCCAATGATGTGCAATGTGTGTTGGAAGTAAAGCCAGACAATTTGGTGCCCCACAAGCTTGGAAAGAGCAAGAGGGCACACATGAGACTCTGTATGAGCTTTTGAGGAGCGATACATCAGGCCCAGGGAAAAACTGGCAGGACTTCCACCACACACATCTAGCGGCTGACTCGGCACCGTCATCTGCCTGTAGCCTCCAGTAGCTCTGTCATGCTCTAAAGAGTTACTGGAACATTCAAAGAGTCTGTATTATCATGGAAAAGCTTATATAAAAAAAGAAAAATTGCCCCAGGACCACGTAGAAAGTGCAGATCCTACTTAATAGGAATTAACATGTCAGCTCCTGCAGGATGGATACAGAATCCAGATACCAAAGAGGGATTAGACCATGCTAATTTTCTTTTAGAAGATATTTGTCATCTTTACAGAAACATAACATTAAGTATTAAGCTCTGTACACCTTAAAAGCATTTCAGTTCAAAATTCATAATTCCCACCAAGCATGGTACCTGTCACTATGGCAGTCTCTTGCTGAAAACAAGGAATTCCACACCCATCCTACACCAGTTTATCATTTTCTGTATGCAACACCCAAGAGGCTGACTGAGAAAAGGAGGTGACCGGGTTCTGCTGTGTGCTGATCTAAAACCCTTTGGAGGTTTGGGGGGTTTTTTTCCCCTTAAATTAGGTAGATTTTGTCATGCAGAGTTTGTATTTCTCATCAGCACACCGATATTCCTGTTTGTAGCTCGCAGCCGTACAAAACAGAAACAACTTCCACGCGCGACCAAGCCAAAACCGTTTATCATCTCGTTCCACTCTTCCTCCCAGAGCTGAAAATTCCAGCCAGCAGCAGTATGTGGATTTAGGTCAAGCAAATCAAGCGTCATGCGCCAGCCAAGCGCTCGCCTGCTCTCCTGCCAACTGCGAACAGAATTCTGCGCTCCCGAAACCCACCACGGCCAACGCGCCTCTCCTCTCGGGGCTGCCAAGACGTTCAGCTTGGAGCTGAAAGCTGATCAATCAAAGCATTTCAATGCCACAGGTGGAAATGGGAGGACTGCCCCCTTTTTTTTTTAGGACTGACTGAAATACTGGGGCGGGGGGTGTTTGTGGTGGTTCGTTGTTTCTGCGGGGTTTTTTAGATCGTTACAGTTTCCACGAGTTCTTTGAGCCCGGCAGGTCTGAGTATCAGCTTTCATTCACTGGGCAACAACAAATTTTTCAGAGCTGAAGTCTGCTGGTGCTCCCTTTTAAGCCAGACAACCTTCCCTCGAGGGGATCTGAGACACCCAGGGCTGTCAGGGAAGGGTGCACTGGACGAGCAGCAAGACACAGAAGTTCCAGCTGGAACAAGCGGCCCCAAATCGTTATTTTCTAGATTTCTTTTTACTAGAGATTTGAACAAAGGAAATTAGGACAGGAGAGGCACGCTTAGAGGAATGTGAAGCCAACTGAAACACTTTCCATTGCACTTTGCTAATGCAATTTTCGCTGCTCTTAATGCCTTCCATGAGTTTACAAGCACGAGCACAGGAGATTAAGGATTGCAATACTTTAATTTTTGTGCTGACAGGCTTTTGGCATAATCTTTGGTAGGCTGATTCGCCACTCTGTCTTGCAGAGGGGACTGATTTGGACAAAAAAAAACCCTAAAAAACTCTATCTGACCTCTCTGGAGCTGGGGGCAGACATCAGTTTTGTAGCTGCTCACACCTGTGGCAGTGATTCTCTGCAGTGGGAAGGTGCAGACAATCTGGACTCATCTGGGACTCAGAGAGGTGAACTACCCCTGCTGCTGCTTGAAGAGGGCGAGTGTTGTTTGAATTGGATTCCCTCCCTCCCTACCACTGCCAAAATTTTGGCTCAGCATAGAAGGAAAGGTTCAGACAGAAGCAAACCCTGTATTTTGTTAATTTTATAATAAAGAACACACATGGTCAAGTCCAACTTCATGATAAACCTACTTTTCTAGAAAAATCAGTCACAGAAAACAGCAAAAGCAGATGGTTTAGTTGCTTTTCAGATGCAGATGAAACAAGACAAAGATACTGAATGCAACCTGAAGCATTATCTTGAGTGTTTTTCATCAAGGAACAGGCCCTGCTAGCCATCAATTAAAGTAATGCTATTTTAGCTGTAACACAGAGCTTTGATTTAATTTTAGACATCTTTTATGAATAAGTAAATAGCCTACAAAGATTATTACATTTTGTTACACATGGATTATTTCTTATGGAAGCCTCTGACATTCCAATTAACATATTTAAATTTTTTTTTTTTTGCTCTTCTCAAAATGGATGTTTAGGACCCAGACCGAACAAATCTAACATCTACCACTGGAAAAGTCAAACCAAAACTAAGGCATGCAGCCTTCCTCTGAAAAATTGAAATGAGTTTCCATGATATTAATGAAATGTTTCTCTTCCTGCTAACCAGTAAAATACCAAATTGACTCAGCAAACATCAACACAGGGGTTTCACTTACTTTGCTTTTTCCAGAAGTTTTATTGCTTCTTCTCTTCTATCCTGGTCTAGATACAGTATTGCCAGCTCCAGCAAGGCATTTGGAATTAGATAGTGGTCATATTTTATCTTCTTCTCACTGCAATGGAAGAGAAATAGCCTGGAGACCTTGAAATGATATACTGTTTCCCTCATTTCACAGCCCCACACACCAACAAACAGGAGATTAGCTACGATCAGAAGGAGCAATCAATCTCTATTACGACACCTGTCATGTTCTCTACCCCAAGATACCTTCCGGGTTATTCAATGTGTATTTTGCATAAGCATCCCACACAGTATGGATAATCTCAGGATTAGAAAATAATGCCTTTATTATCAGGGAAATGTTAGAAAAGATGGCAATATTATGAGCTGTATCCACGTGAACTGCCAAGAAGAGAGGCTGTTCACCACATGAGGTGCAGAAGCTCCAAGTGTAATCATGCTGCCACCTGTCTGCAAACTGCACTTGGCTTTCTGGGTACAGCTCCTTCATGACTGGTAAGAGGAAAGGGGCAAAAAGAGGTTAAGTGGTACCTCAAAAAGTTTAAGCATCTGTAGTCCCCTATAAGGAGAAAAGGCCTCGATAAAAACTGCAGATTTGAGATTCTTCAAAACGTGGCTAACAAGAAATAAAACTGAAATTCCTTGAAATAAATACCAAAGTTACTGCAGTCCTCTCCCTTCTATTCATATCATGGCTGCATCTCCTCTTACTTGAAACTCAAGAGCTCTCCTCCATGCCAGGTGTGAAAACTTACTTTAAATAGATGTAATTAAAATGGTCTTCTGCTTCTGAGATCTTGCCCAAGTGCTTGAGGCATAATCCCTTTAACAGCTTTATCACACACCGGTCATCTGCTAGTAATTCTGTAGCTGCAGGATGGAGTAAATGGCACATCTTAGAAAACTCTAGAACAGAAGAGACTTTCCTACCTGCAGGGAAACTTCTACAAAGTCAAGTGTGGGCACAATCCACTTGCTGGATCACAGGGCAGAAGGAACTAATTGGTGAATTTAATTTAAGGCAGAGACAAACAAATATCAACCTTTTCATAAATCAGTCAAACTTTGCCCAAAAATTGTTGGGCTGTTCTTGCCCTCTCTACTCCCACTGAAAGGCTACCCCACTGTTCTGACACCTAAAAACTAATCTAAGGTGTTCATTCTGTAAATACTGAGGTCCAATTTGTAATCTCTCAACTCTTCTTGTCCTTTAGTATGTACAGCTCTTCTTCCCTGACATGTAATCACATGGCCCATTCGCAGGCAAGTCTTTTATCAATTCTCCACCTTTGTTTGGCTAAACAAAAAATATATGAAATTTGCTACCTGCACCTCACATCTCCTCATTTTCCTACCATACCTTCTTTATACTTCTTTTGAGGGTTTACTTCTGAGTGCCTAAAATCTAACCAGCCTCACCAGTGCCTGGTTCAAAGTCATTACTATCAACACTCTTCCTCTTCATCAGAACATTTCTGCACATTTCAAGGAAAACATCTGTCTTTTCCATAGCCAATCCACATAGGCAGTTTAATCTTAAAAGTTTAGGAGCAAAATCTGCAACCTGCTCACTCATTTCCAATTCATGAAATCCTAACTGAAAAGAATTTCTACAAGATGTGTGATGCTGCATCTGATTGTCATCCTGTTTTCACTGCTCCAAGCCTTACCTGGTTCTTCACTTGCTACTCCAGCTGATTAAAGGCTGACAAATACTGCATGAAACAGCTGCTTCCCTTTGGAGTATTCAGTCTGAGTCCTACAATTGGAGTCACTTCTACTGCAGATTCCCACAAAGGCCCTTACACATATGAGTCACCCAAACAAATCCCAGGGAAGATGCCCCAAGACTATCCAACAAACTAACTTAGAAGAAACAGGGAACAGGGCAAAAGTTGACACACTAAGTGTGTGCACACTGAGATGTCTCAAGGCCAAGGAAGAATTATTTCATAATATTAAAAAAAAAACCACCAAAAACCAGCTGCCTCTTCTGGACATCTGTCCCAAGAACACTTCCACAGGCATGTATTTCCTCTACTTATATCCTACAGACTGCCCCAGACTGTGTCAGCAAACGTTAGGGACCTCTCCCAGATGCAAATCTGATATGCATAATTGTATTTCTAGAGGTTACCTCTGCTAACAGCCTTGCTTTTACATCTTACACAATATAATGTGCTAGAAGCACATCCTCAGATGCATCTTTTTATGCTGCTAGATTCTTTTAACAGTTAAGCAGAGAAAATACTTGAATGCATAATAGCTTAGCTCTGAACCCTGTCAGGAAAGCTCAAGGCAAGCACAATGCCTGGAAACAGCAAGTCAATATTTGGAACAGGCAACACTTTAAATTGTTGGCGTGTTTGAAATATATCCCACTTTTCGATTACGTGTCCTCATAGTGTTCTATAAACATGAATCAGCTACAAATCCCTGCAAAATCCAGCCTTATCTACAATTTGTCAACTAAGAAAAAAAAAAGGGAACAGAGAAGTAATTCGGTTACTCAAAGTAATCTAATAAAATGGGTGACAAAGAAGGTGAAAGGGTCAAAGGCCTTTTCCTAAGATGTCACCTTCACTGAAAATATTTTCCCTGCTCTCTTGATCAACTGAACAAAAATAAATAATTTTAGCCAGTCTTTCAGGCAACTCTCTCAAATCTTGTGTAACAGACAGTGCACACCACGACCAAGGCCCTAGAAAAGACTGCAATGCAGTGTTTTAGCCTATATTCCTTTGTCAACAGGGGCTTGATCCTTTTGCAGGAAGGTGGTATGTAATAGTAATAAGATCAAATATTGAGCAAGGGAAAGCTCTGTGAGAAAAGGTGTGCAGCCTGGTTGTACTCCCACAGGAGCTGTGAAAGACTGGCAAGAAATAAACGTCAATCCCACTTTCTCATGTGTAGCTAATTAACAGACTGACAGAAAATGTGGCAGCAGAGCCTGTTTCAGTTCAATCTTAGGCTCATTCATAGTGCAAAGGAAGCCCATCCCTGCTGTCCCAGATTCCTATGGTATTCTGATGACACCAGGCCATTCAGCCCAAGGTCACACCATAAACTGGCAGGACTTTCAAAACAGAAGACCAACTTGTCTCCTATTTATCCTTCAAAACTGAAATACAGTATCTGAGGATAACAAAGCTTCATGATCCAAGTAACCAAGCCAACACATGCGCTGATTTTGATCTACCAAAATAAACAGTCCTTTAATACATGTCATAAACTACTCCTAACACACATCCGTGGATGGAAAATCACTTGCTACTATTGTAAGTTATAGCTATATTAAAAATAAAAAATATTCCTATCTGCATAAACAGTTTATGGTTTCATTATCTATGTTCCTCCTACGATCTGATTAACTTCACTAATGAATATTTCTCTCTATTCACAGATAATATCTTTAGCTATTGCACTATAAAATAACTGGTTAAACCCTATCACTGATTACCTGGACTTCTTGCCAATGCTTCTTCTGCTTCAATTAAAGTCTCTAACATGCCTTCTGTTAGGTTGGGACATTTTCCAATTACAGCATAGCCATTCCAGATATACATCATTTCCTAGGGTCAGGGAGAAATGACAGCATCATTAATTACAGTACTGCCTAAATGTAGTTGTCAAATACTTCAGTTTATCTCTGCATGATGAAAACCTTACAGGTTCCTTAAATAAAGTCAGTTTGTCAAAACATATTTTCATTGTAACTGAAAACTTGTTACACTGGTTTTCAGAACAAATTAGCCCTGGAAGACAACTAAAGAGCCACTTACTACACACAGTACAGGGGAGATTCCTTGAATAGAATGCAAACACAGTATCACTTACAGATGAAGCAAGTACCAACAAACCAGACTGGAAACATTTCAGGCACAAGGCTAACTATCCTCTGGTTTTTCAGTTCTGTCCTAGCCAGGGCAGTAATAACCACGAATAACTGAAATGTATTGCTTCCACAGAAAAATATGAAATCTCAGGACAGCAAAACAAAAGGAAAAGAAAACCAAACCCCCTAACCTTTAAGCCAAGCTTCAAACAAACCCACAAAATTTTAGAGCTGAACTGTAAGCCTCTTACATTTCTCAGCTTTGTTTCATGTACCCACAGAAAGCAACTTCTTTCTTATTCAAGTGTTCTAAAATTACATTTTATTAAAAGCTATTGGTTCAATTCCCCTTTGTTGGTGGGGTTCTCTCTCTTACACTATATGACCAGATCAAATGTGCCCATCTCCACTACAGCAATCACAAAAGATGCAAGTGTTTATATATAGACTTAGGACTGGCCCTCATGACAAGTTGTTTAATCACAGAATCACAGAATATCCTGACTTGGAAACGACCCACAAGGATCATCAAGTCCAACTCCTGCACCAGAGCACCCCAAGAATCCCACCATGTGCCTGAGAGTGTTGTCCAAACGCTTCTTGAGCTCTAGCAGGTCTGGGGCTGTGACCAGTGCCTGACCACCTTCTGGGGGAAGAGACTTTTCCTAACAGCCAGCCTAAACCTCTCCTGACTCAGCTTCGTGCCATTCCCACTGGTCATCTGAGAGAAGAGATCAGTGTCCAATCTATTTATTCTATTTCTTTATATGACCTAGTCTGTGTTTAAATTAAAATAAAATTTCTATATAGAATAACTGAGTTATGTAACTACAGCACAAAAAGCTGTCAGGCCAGAATAGCTGAAACAGCATGTTAACCCCAGTCACTGCTGCTTTCACCATCTGGTCTCTATTGATTGGAAAACCTGTGCTGAGCTTACTGAACCTACTGCAGATTCATTAACGTGGGTTTGAAACAGAAGTATTCAAACCACATTCATTCCAGGCTAAATCCTCGAGCTAAGTCTCGCTCGAGAATTCGCTCTTCTCAGCAAGCCTCTTGATAATGAAAAGAAAAATCCTGGAGATGAGATTCTGCCCCCAGTTCCACATCCATAATGTGCTTTTATCTGTTCAGCTGCGGCACCTGCTGCCTCGGAAACGCAACTGCACAGCGACCAAGGACACGGTGCCCGGCTGCTCCAAGGAGAGATCCTGGTACAGAAACCTGCTCTGTCCAAACCCCATTAGCACAGCACAGCCAAACCCCAGGTGCATGTGCTTCTTCCTCTCTGAAACCTGAAAGGCACATCAAAGTAACCTAATTATTTCTCTCACTTCAGCCCTATTAGTGGAAGGTGGTCCCCGGTGAATATTCACTCTCTGCTGTAACAGCTCTGTTTCTTCAGGAGGCACAGTGTCACATCCCCACTGGTGGGCTGGGAAGTGGCCACTCACTGGGGTCTTCCAAGAGGCTCTCCTTGTTCTGGCATTTTCTTAAAGAATATTTACTAGTTATCCATCCGTTTCTCAAACACAAAACAGCCCAAGGCACAGCAAAGGTTAACACCACTGCACTTGGCAAACCTGTGGACTCAAAACCGTTTTACGTTCTTCCAAATCTTCTTTGTAGACAGATTTTTGTAAGTGCACCACGAACAAGGCAATGGGTGCCTCATGCAGGTGTTCTCATCCAGCCACAGGGAACTGCCCAGCATTACAGGGGGAAAAAAAATTAAACAAACAAACAAATAACAACAACAAAAAAACTACAGTCGCAGTGGCTTCCTGAAGTGGCCAAAGGATTCAGTCGTTTCATCCCGTGAGTAGCTCTGGAGAGCGAACTGCAAACATTCAGGGGCACACAAACAGATGCTTACAGGCAGTCCCCCAATTCTTGCATTGTTTCCTTGACACCTCCCCTTACTTGTACCTTAAAGTCTTCTGTTAGTGACTGACACGTGACAAAAGAGACCCAGGGCAAAGTTCCTCAAAAGGGAACCAAAAGAAAGCTGCTGGGAGCACGCTGGTCTATAGCTGGAATAATGAGTTACACATGCAACACATTTACGTGTCACAAACAACTGGCTGAGTTCCCTGTGGCTGGTGCATGCCCCAGTTTTACAGCATTCCTCGCATTCATTTGGCTTTGCTTTGGGAACATTCCAGTCTCCTGCAGAGGTTTTACCTTAGAAACATGGAAAGACACTATTCTAATTATCTTGGGTTTATTTTCTATAAATTAAAATGTTGCAAAGGGTACGTGTGTGGATACTTCTGACTTACCAAAGGCGGAACAGGCAAGGGAACGGGGTTTGAAGAAAGGTACCGTCGTGCTTTCCGAATTGCAAACTTTTCCGTCGGCAGAGATTTCCCTGCAATTTTCAGTTTCAGACTGGGAACAATCCTGAAAGCATAAAGGAAAACACAAGAAATTTTTCCTCTGTGAAAAAACCCCAAACATTCAAACTTAAAGGAAAAAAAAAAAAATCAAACCAAGGAGAACTTAAAAAAGCTGTTGAACACTGGGCTATTGCCACCTCTGGGAAGCTGAGCAATATGTACTCACAAAAGCTGTCTTTATGCAGGGCATGTTTATCTCTAAGCTTCCTCTTTAATCAAGCAGGAGGAGAGGGACTCTTCCCCACTGAAAGATTAAATTAGATGATGCACCTAACTTAAAAAGGGCTCATCTCTCTTCACAGACTAAGAAAGAGTCAAGCCAGCTTCTGTAAGTCTTCCATTCTCCCAGACTAAAACTATTCGCTTCATAACGTGTAAATTCAGTAAAATCTGCTTGTAACGATTACAAAGGACAGAGAAAACCTGAAAAGCATCACATTGTAAGCACATTAAAAAAATAAAGATATTTAGATTTTATATAAAGATTGTGAACCCTGAAGTAATCAGATTTTCTCTGCCCCAGCAAGGTTTAGGCATTTTTGAACTTAAACGTTACATTAACACAGTGAGGTTATCACTCACATTTAACTCTTTTTTTTATTCCTCTCAAACTCAAACCCCAAGAATGAAGTAGTGCTGATACTTCCACTAAAGGAGGCACACACCTTGCAGCACAATTCATTGCAGGCTTTCACATCTTACGTGCCATTTTGATTAAAGGAAACATCTGGAAAAGAATGTGACTATTACATGGAACAGCAGTAGGCACTGTATGGCTGATAGATCTCATATCCTTTCCCTAAAGTATTTCCAGGCCAGGAGAAATCTGTTGTCTGAACTCAGGGTTCCCTTTAGTCTAAAGGACATTGCTCTGTCGTTTCTTACCAATCCAATGCTGTTTGCACAAATCTTCAAATATGCACAATGAATATTTTGCCTCTTTTCCCTCAACACTGTGGTGTGAAAAGATAGTGAACTATTGTAACTGTGAGTTTGCAAATTTTACCTAAATAATTCAGCTTCACTGTCTCCAAAAGGGCTGCAGTCATCTGGTCCAAACATACTGAGATAAGCAGCTTTCATGTAAATATAAGTAGCCTGCAAATGCAATGAATGATATATATATATAAAGAAAAATGAATTTACAGCATCACCTTTATTGATATAAAGCAAAAACCAGCAAAAAGTGGCAGTTGCTGCTTTTGCTCATAATCTTACAAAAGTTTAAGCAAGAGGTATTTTAGAAAGTGAGTATAGAACATAGGTTTTTTTATATCTTTGTTTACTTCGTATCAGCTTATAGTTTCTGTCCAAATTCCAAGAACAAATCTCATGCTTGTGTAAATAAGTTTTTAATACTCCTAAGTACACATGCTAGAAAGCTTAAGAAAAGGTCATGCTCAGAGAAAAAATTAATACTATACAGTCTCTGTGTCCAATCACAATTTGCTAACATATCCCAAATTCCAGGTTCTAAAAAACAGTCGTTCCCTGTGGACTTTGGGAGAGCCAACTTTGGCCTCTTCAGGAATCTGCTTGGTAGACTACCATGAGATAAGGCCCTGGAGGGAAGAGGGGCCCAAGAAAGCTGGTTAATATTCAGATATCAGCTCCTCCAAGCTCTGGAGGATCCCAAAAAGAGAGAGTCAGGAGGCCTAGTGGATGAACAAGGACAAACTCAGACACAAAGAGGAAGCCTACAGAGGGTGGAAGCAAGGACAGGCAGCCTGGGAGGAATACAGAGAAATTGTCTGAGCAGCCAGGGATCAGCTTATAGGAAAGCTAAAGCCCTGATGTCTGGCCAGGGACGCCAAGAGCAACAAGGAAAGATCCTATAGGTATGTTGGTGATAAAAGGAAGACTAGAGAAAACGTGGGCCCTCTCTGGAAATAAAAAGGAGACCAGGTTACCCAGGATTTGGAGAAAGCTGAGGCACTCTGACTTTTTTGCCTCAATCTTCACCACCAAGTACTCCAGCCTCACTGCCCAAGCCACAAAAGGCAAAGGCAGAGAGAACGGGAAAATTAACAACTGTCTGGTGTAGGAGAAGTTTGGGTGTGAAACGATCTAAGGAACCTGAAGGTGCACAAGCCCATGGATCCCGAGGGAGCTGGTGGATGAAGTTGCTAAGCCACTGTTCATCATATTTGAGAAGTCACAGCACTCCAGGGAATTCCCACTGAATTGGGAATTCCCACAAACTGGAAAGGGGAAATGTAATCCCCATTTTTAAAATGGCAAAAAGGGAAGATGAAGGGAGGAATGCTACCAGGATTCTAGGTAGAAGAACTTCTCCCTTTCAGATGTGCAGGGTTAGGCACCACTTCTAATTATATTTATTATCCTGGAGGCACCGCCATGGCTCGCCCCACTCATCACCAGAAGAGCTCATATCCATAATGTGAGGGAAGAAATGGCAACTTGTGCCATTAACTGCAATGTGTTGATGACACAGCCAGTGAATACACAGCAGCACTTCTTCAACAAGCTGCTCTTCACCTCCCAGCTGGGTCCAAAAGATTTCTGCTTGCCCCCAGTCTGTTCAGATTTGAATGTTTGCATTCATTGCATACATTGTTCTGTAAAAGCCACGCCAGGCCAGGCTTTACTTTACAACCTCTATTGTTGAAGCTACAAAAAGTCAACTTGACTGGAAGTTAACAGATAAAACAGGGCCTTTCAGCCTCCTGCTCACTCACCTTTGACCAGGTGTTTTCTTTGCTTAGCAGGTCTGCATAGAAGAAAGCCATCTTCCACTGGCGCTTGTAGGTGAAGCACCACATCAGCTCCCAGTAACACATGTGGTGGAACTGCTTCCAGTACTGCTGAGCCTCGCAGCATTCCTCATACCTATTGACTGCCTGGGCACAGAGATTTCCAAACACTGCCTCAGTCATGTGTCAGTGCACAGACAGCAGTGCTGTAACAGACACTGGGGCTCCACGATCTGCCTGCATGGCTCCTGCAACTTCCAAATTATTAACAGCCCAGTATTTCCCAAAATCACATCTGCTGGCCTCACACACACAAGAGGTTCTTGGCCACACAGTCATCCTGGTGTTAGCAAGTTTACCCTGCCACCCATCTCCCCATTCCTGGATGTTATAAAAATTCTAAGCATCATCAAAATTAACATTTGTGTCTAGGGAAATTAGGAAAGTGAAGGCAGAGGACAGATGCTGAGCTGACATTTACTGCTGTGGTTCCACGGATTTCAAGGGAGCTACTGCCCTGCAACACTGGTTGATACTCTGTCTCAGAGTATCTGGGACATGCACTCTTCATCTCCATAATTCTTTCAAATCTCGTATGAGTATCCACTCAGACTGAAGGCAAAGGATTACCACTGGGTCTTATTATAGGCACATCTTGCTTCGGGATAGGAAAGACAATGAGAAGACTGTGTCATTAATACTGGAGGACTAGATTATCGCCACAAACTGAGAGGGGCAGCAAAACGAGGTGGACGAACAAGTTAGTCAAAATAATTTTCAAAATTCCCATTTGTAATGCACAAACTACAAATTACACATAGGCCAAAGCCACAGGAAGCACTGGCCAAAAAGGAAACATCACTCCTGGAAGAATTTTTCTAAAGCTTTTGAAATTTAATTTCCCAAGAGCAAAATGATTACTTACCGCATCAATATTACCCTTCAGTGTTTCTATCCTGCCTGCAAAAAACAGGAATATGGCTCCCTGTAATAAATAATAATAAAAATACAAGTATTCTGTAACAGTTTTCAAGCTGACCATACAATCTAGATCTTTGTTATTTGGCAAGAAAACATTAAACTATCATACCAAATAAATTAGGATTCATTTTACCTTTGGATAGCGAGCCAAGTAAGGCTTAAGTAGTCTTTCTGCCTCCTCAACATTTCCTTTTCCTGTCCCTAGAATGCATAAAAATGCAAGTGATAAAAATAGTTAAGAAACAAAGAAGAGAAAAAAGACCCAGGAATGAAAGGTACCAATTATCCATCCTCAAATGGCCAACATGTAGGTTCCCCTCTCTGCTAAGTAAGGCATAAAAACAGGTTGGTGCTGCACTGAGGCAGCAAACACGAAGCTTAAATTGTTCTTACGACTTGAAAACCCACGTGTAGACAAACACATTTTGTAGAATGTTTTAGCAGAAGATAACAGAGAAGTATGTGTCAGTGGGAAGCTATCACCTCCCCCAAAAATTCAGGGATGACATGTAAACATGAACAATGAAACCATCGCTTACAGCCATTATTTTAACCTCCCCATTAATGCACCTGACTACCAAAGAAAAATTTAGCTCTCACAGCTTCCTTGGCTATCCCCATTATCTCCCTTCTTATGTGTTAAACAAACCTCCATCTTGAAAATTAAGACACTCTCTTCAGTTATAATCACTATTGTAAAATGACCCCCACACGAGTTACATTTAATCTGCTTACGAACAAACAATTCACCAACAAACAGGTGATGGAATAGTCTTTTTCCCCTTTGTGTCCCACAAGAACTAATCAAATCCAAGAGTTATTATAAACAATCTTACCTAACACAAAGGTCATGAAAGTATGATAGCAAAGCAACAGCATGGTACACAGCACCGACCTAAAGCTGTATGATGATGCTCCTTCTTGAAGCTGCAGCAGACCATGTTCCTGTGCAAACAGACAGGGGGGCACAAAGCATTGGAAAAGATCCAGAGTTGTGCCTTGCTAATTTAACTTCTGCAGTGTCATCTTCAGACTGCTCACTCACCAAATTCCCAAAAAGGCACTGACATACATTGCTTACACAGCAGTCAAAGGTTAAAATACACATATTAATTTACCTAATAGTTTTTCTATTAGGAATTACTGCTTAGCCTGGAAAATACCTCATGACAGAACAGCAACTTGGGATGTATTACATGGTTAACATAAGAGAATGAGAGAACGAGAACTTATCACCACCATCCAAGTTCTGCTAAACAGCATTCCAGAAAAAAACACGTAGAATTTTTAAAAGCAAGGTGAAACCCACATATCACCATTGTGCAGTGTATCCATGTTTGTTGTGGTTCACCAGGCAAGCAAGTTAAAAGTATCAAGAAAAAAAAATCTGCAACTAGAAGAGCAAAAGATATCAGGGCAAAAAGATGCCTTTAAGCACGCCAAGAACAAAAAGAGCTTTGCAATGATGTTGGCCCACTACCACCAGTGGAAAAAACATGAGAAGAAGAGTATTTCTGTTCCCTTTTGGAAGAACTAAAGCAATCAAGTCTAACGCTGTATTCATATTCAGTGACAGCATGACGGATGAACAACTTCAAGGATTCAAGCTCCTGAGGCAAGAGCATTTATCAGCCCGTTCCAGGACTGGTTCCATGATACCAACAGCAAGATTATAAATATGTGAATGCATCAAACATGAGATCTGCCTACTGGTAAATATGCACAGTAAGACATCCACTGTGTGCTGGGGAAAATCCTGTTTAAAGGTTACATGATCAGAAGAGATTTACATGTTTTGTGTGTCCTGGTTGACTGAGGGGTGTTACACCACCACACCTTTATCACTTACTCTGTAAACACTGAAGCCTGTAATCACATTCTCCTTTTCATCACCCGTGTATTTTTTCACTTAACTAGTGTAGTTAAGTGTTTTCACATTAATACAGTTTTTGGTGGTTTTTATCTTGATTTACTACATTAATTACTGCCACAGGGAAAAATACGACTCATATTTGCAGGTCTATCATAACATCTAGCTGGGACAAAATAATGAAAATAATGACTTGTATGTCACTACAGAAGAAATTAAAAGACAGTGAAAAATCAACTACTTAATGAAAACCAAGCACTTTGCAAAATGAACCCCACTTCATTTTCTTCTGAGAGCACAAGTTTAATTGATACAAATAAGTAACAAAATATGATGTATTGAGCTTCTGCAAGCTGCCCAGATGAAAACCACAAATATTTGGATTTTTAAAAAAGTAGCACTTTGAGGTAGAAGACAAAACATTCTATGGAATGAATTCTGGCAGAAAAAAATTGCAAAGTAGATTTCCAAAGTCCATTTTTCTGCAGTGAAAAGTCTTCAAGTTTGATATTTCTCTGAGCCTTTACTGACACTGGCCTTACAGTATTTGGTATCTTCCACATAATATAAAAATACATATGAATGCAAATAGCACTCAGAATGATTCAGAAACAAATTCTGTTAGTCATACAGAATAATTTAATCATTTGTCAAGTTGATCTCACATATTTTAGTCTCAAAAGTGTATTTTATCAGAGCCAAACACAAAGTTATCATCTGTATGGACAAAGGAACGAAGCCACACCCTGGACAGCAGTAACTGGGAAGTAACTGGGTTAAGAACATTGCCCATTCATCAGGACAGGGCTGCAAATCTGACACACTTAAGCCCAAATTCTCAAACTGAGTAGTTACACAGGTATGGGAAGCTCACCAAGCAAGTCAGTTCACTCTGTGCTATGTCCATAATCCTATTTTGTCCAGAAGAGGTATTAAAGAGTGTTTACTTTTCCCTCTGCCACTTGAATATCCCAAACATTCTATATTAAAGTAGCAACATAATCAGTAGACACAGCCTGAATAAAAGAAATATAGAAGTAGCTGTTACTAGTATTACAACACTTGCTTGCAGAAAATGCTGCAACAAAGCTGCTTCTCCTCAAAAACGCTCTTGCAAACTGCTTCTGTTAAAATGGGATCCCCAGGAAGGCAGGAAGATGAAGGGTTGTCACTGGGAAACATGTTTTACATCCCACACTGTCAGCTGGCCTCCCTAGGCTCCCTCTGGGGCTGGCTGAGACAGAGGTAACTCCTCCAAGGCGCAATTTGGCAGAGAAGCCTGGGGCAGACATGAATCACCTTTCCAAGCACACGCCCTTTCTCCACAGGGAGCCTCTGGAGATCAGCCAGCAAACCTCATCAGCCAAGGGAGGTGCCATGAGCTGGGCACTGTAATGGGATCAAACTGAGGATCTCGGAACAAAGCACAAGCAGCAGACTACTTGAGCCTAAGGAGTAATTCTGTGATCACACTGCACTCACTTAGTGACTGGCACCAGTGAGTACATTACATTTAATTGTTAGGACACGCCTTCTAACCATAAATAACCCATAACTACCTCCCACACCTATGTCACAACTGATATGAGCAATCCCAGAACGCCGGGAATGAGCTTCCAAACAAAGTCTATTACAGGGCATATAAAACAGATGTCAAGGCATTAAGTGTTTGTAATTTCTCAAAAACGACATTTTTGTAATTGCCCTAAAATGACATTAGCACATTTCAGTTTTGTTTTCACACAAAACAGAAGCTACTCTGAGGAACATAAAGTACAACACAGAGCAGGGAGCAATGTCACTTCTTAGGGACAAATGTGATCCAATAGGGGAACTCTCATCTTTTGTCCAAGTTCCCCATAACATCCTACAATCTCTCAATTCCTAAGACTGTCACTACATTATATTACATCAGTATCTTATTGATTCAATCCTTGTCCCAAGATATCCAATGCTCTGTCATCCAGGACTTACCACATGCACAGTGGAGAATCCCACAGTGGATAAAGGACGAACAAGGACAGTGCTCAAAATCATTATTAGACAACACTGAGGCTGGTTCATATTTATTTCAGCTGTTACTGACTAAAATCCATCTACTCTCCCAAAGCAAAAGCTCTTAAATGTTATTTTTTAATCACTCTTTTTTAATTAGGGATCTTGACAATAAAAGCAGAGCAAGGTCATCGTTCATGTCCCATGACCTGATCATGTAACTGCAGGCTTAGCAAGGAGGATGGATACTACTAACAGCTTTACAACAAACTGGCTAATTAAGCTGGTACACAAGGCATTTGAATGTATCCCACGAAATAATTTCAGATTTAACCTTCATTTAAAATTTGAAGAGACCCAAAATGCAGTTTGAAAAAAATGCTTAGTGGGAAACTGGAATTAAATTTATTTCAAATTGACACACCAAATGCATTCTTCAGCTCAGCTGCGTTGGGGAAAATGTCCTCCCACATAAAAGAAGTATCAATTTGAAAGAAATCAGTTCTATCTCAAAGTTTTTCTGCCTTCCCCTGAAATCATGCTGTCATCTGACCCTCTGACAAATTGCACTTAACATATGGTAGGCTCACGTCAAACTTTTCTACAGTTTAGCAGCAAAGCATTGGTAATTGTCTATAAAATAAGAACTAGGGTAAATATTAGCCTGAGACCTGGCAGAGGACTCTGTGAGAAAGGTTCAGTGCTTCCATGGGAGACAGTGCAAGGACTCCTCTGCTCTCCCAGGAGAGTTTAGTCATCCCTAAACACAAAAGTCCAGATGGGACACACGCTCCACCTGCTGCCCAGTGAGGCAGAAATGCTCCCAGCACAGTGTGTGTGACACAAACCTCTGCCCACAAAACATTTCTCACAAAACTGGGCAAAACTGCACTGAACCTCAATGCCCAAACGCAGGGCTGAGGGTACCAAACACAGATAAGCCCGTATTTTGACTAATGATGCAAAGGAAAGGAGCTTGAGTAGTGAGATGGGCACAACCTGGCATATCCTGGACTGGAAGGGAACAAACACAGCCTCAGGCTACTTTTTATACTTTCTTAATCTTATCCCACCTACTATTTTGAGGCTCCAGACTGCTGTTAAGTTGATCATGTTGTCCACAGTGCCCACAAATGGCTTAGGAAGCAAAGGAGCTTTGGGCATGTCCTGATTTACTATCCAACATGACATGTCTGAGAGACAAGGAGAGTCCCTAGGGGCAAATCTCCTGGCTTCAAGGCAGATTAGTATCCTGCAAGATAACACAATGCAATTTTTTGGATCCAGTTTTAATAAACACATGACCCACACCAAAATCAAGCTGTCCTCCAGTGCACTGCAGCTCTCTCAGGTAATCTGCAAACAGCTCGAGGCACAAACCACGACTCCTGCACAACCTGATGCTCCCAGTGAGCACTTAATGGAAAAGATTACAATATCAAACAGAGGTGTATTCAAAACTCTCTTCTCCTAGATGAGTGCAGCACACAATCTTCCCTCTCCTCCTCTGTCACTGTTTCTTTCACCTTCTAGACTCTTGTCCACCACTTCTTGTTGTAAGCTTTGGGAAACCATCACTTTGGCAAAGGATTGCACATGCAATTGCAATTTTGCTTTTGGCTTTAGGCACCTGTTAAATGCAGGAAGACTTTCTGAGGCTGTTAAAATAAGTGATCATTAATGAACTTTGATCCACATGTCTTACTCCTTTCTATGGTGCGTAGACAGCAGTTTTTTGCTTAAATTTATGGTAATTCAGGTCATGCTTCAGTGAGTTATTAAAAAACTGTAATAGGAGTTGACTCATCAACACAAATAACAGCCCACTCACAGCCATACAAGAAACCCCAAAAGAAAACAACAAACTCAATTAGAGGGACAATTTTCACCCGCAGTAGTAAGATGAGTGTTCACCAAAGTATTCTCAGAGCTCTGCTGGTACACGAATCGCCTTTACGATTCTAGGAGAACATCTTGCTTTAGATGCTCTTTGTTGTTGTAACTCACAGGTGAAAGTATTTGATTTTTGCCTTCACTGTTTGTGAAATAGCTCCTGGGAATTTCTAAGTTGTAATCCACACTCTGCTCCTTGTTTTTAAGCAAGACATTTTATTTTCAGATATAAGACCCTTCCTGTAAACTAATAAAACGGTGATGACAGTCACTGACCTGTCATGTAAGGATGCAGCTCTGATAAAGCTTTTTTTTTTCCTTGAAGCTTGTTTTATAAACAGAAAGCACTATAAAAGGCAAAATAGCACTTACTCCTTTAGACAAGAGAATTTAGGTGCCACACTCCAGTTAACAGTTGCTACTAAAGCAGGAATGAAAGAGGGTTTTTTCCCCCCACAAATCTTCGAAGTGCAATAGTTCAGACAAAAAACAAAGGAAAACTGAGTTGCACAAAAGCATCAGTGTAACACTGTGCTTATGTGATACCAGGGTGTTTCAGAGGGTTACAACTCAGGTGAGGAAGAAGAGATAAAATTAAAAAATGGAGACGGGAGTTTAAGAGTGAGAGGAATGTACCAATAATGTTTAGCTCACATTTACCTTGTTTCCAGAAAAGCCAACAAACTCCAGTAATCTCAGAATCCGTGCAGGGAACATGGACAACGTCTACAGAGAGAAATGCCACAGTTATGCAGTAACTTTCTGCCTCTCAGCTACCTCACACAATATTTCCAAACACAAGAAATAATCATTAAAATTACTAAAACCAGTTCTGTATGACAAATTCCTGTGTAAATGTATACACCTGCTATATTTTAAATCCAATTTAAACAGAAATATCTGTTTAATTGGGGACCCTGTATCTCTGGGATTCCCTACATAGAACTGTATTTATTCAGCACATGCTCAGTAACTCCAGTACTTGTTGGATGTTTCAGAAATGCTGAGTGCACACCACACAGTACATATTTGTTCTTTGTGCAGTAAATCTAACATGTGGGCGTGTGCCAGACTCAGGTAAAGCAGTGAAAGGAAGGGAAAGCACCAGGCACTTTCTGCAGCCCATCCCCCTGAACAACCACGTCAGCCCTTGCCATCTCTGGGTCAGTGCCTCTCTGACACACCAGGAACCACCTTGCAGCATTTGATCACCTGCTTTTTGGCCAGAACACAGCCAACAACAGCCAACAGTGGCCTGAGCAGGACCTCAATCCATGCCCTCATTCTGTACCCCACCCTGCCGACTGCCCTGCCAGCAGCCCAAGCTCTCCAAGTGTCAGTGAGACAGCAAGTGGAAGTCAGCCAACACAGGCTGCTTCTGTGCAAGGCTCCTCCTGGCCCTCGTCCCACATTGTGGGCAGCACTCTCTTTATTTCTAAAGTGTATTATTATCTGATTTTCTCAGACCAAAGGCTGGGATCCTGCACTGTCAGCTCACATCTATGTTTTAAGCACAGGATCGGTAACGCTGATGTCAGTGGAGCTTCTCAGGAATTCAAGTGAGGGTCACTTCCAGGAGGCAGCAGGACTTCAGCTCAGGATAGGACCTGCTGGTACGTACCAGATTAAATGCTCCAACTCCAAGTTTCACACCTCCCTCAAAATGAAGATGGTTTTCTCCTTTGACATAATGTGGGGACTGTATGAGACTGTCCAGCTCCCTGAAAGTACACAAGATTCTGTTACACTGTCAGTAAATAATGTGGTTAATTACAATTCAGTAAGAACTGTGGAAGTTTTCTGATACTTTTAATTCACTGTCTTTAAGAAAACGTTTCATTCTGAATTTTTGTTTTATTTCATTTCATCTTTTTTACTGTGTCTGGTGACCTTTCCTCCCTGAAGGAGTTTCAAAACCTGTGTCTTTGCAACATTCATACATCGTATTTTTTCAGGTTGGTCTTGTTGCAGATTATCAAGCAGTTCTGCTGCCAGCAGGGAAGGGAAAAATGCTTTTTTATATCAGAAATTACATTGTAAAAAATACTGATCAGTCAAAGCAAACAAAGCCTCATTTCCATATTCCAGTGTTTTCTCTGTTGTACCACACTCTCACCAAAACTGCAACCAATTCTTTCTTCCCACACCAAAGGTGCAGTACAAAAATCATAACTGCTGGTCTCACATAAAAACATTCCCTTTGTTAAAATACAGCTTTTCTTAATATGCAAGTTGTTGTTAGCATTTTTATTAGCATTCTTTGAAGAAGAACACCTAAGACCACCTAAGAACACCTAAGATTCTTAATGTTACTAGACTAAGAACATTTTGTTTTTATACAAAAAGCTGGTCTTGACTAAGGCACAACTGAATATGCTTCCCATGGTGTATATTTTAATGTAATTCTTAGATTTTACTACTGCATTTCAAAATCATTTGCACATGTTGAAAGTGGCTCTCCATACCTTCCTGGATGAAAAGAATTCTGCCCGAGCAGATGTTTTTGGCTTACAGACAGTAAGTAATGAGTACACTGTGAGTTCAGATGAGCAATCCTGCTTATCATTTGCAATAGCATGCACCTTCTCTTTAGAGTAGAACTGCTGTACTTAACCAGATTAGAAGTCCAGCTCACCAAGTATCACTCAGACAGTGGCACATGCTGGGAAAAGCATCCTTTAAGAACTGACTGCTCAGGGACCTCACGACGTGGGGAGACTGCACCTGTTTACTATGTTAAATTGCCCTTATTTCCTGCAAATTTGTTTAATCTTTGTTTGAAGCCACTTATATTTAACATTTCAAGCTCTTCAGTTTCTTGCCCTTTCATATGATTTTAGGTTTATGCATTTATTATGGAAATACTTGTGCTTCAGCTACTGGTTTCAAATGTTCCAAAAAGCTGCAGCTAGAACTATAAAGAAAGGCCATTTCAATGTGCCTAATGACTGTGTTGGAACATTTGTCCAGCAGCAGTTTTTGCTGATAGAGTACATCTAATCACACCACCACTCTGACTCACCTGTATGTTTGGTAACTGTTTCGGACTTTGATGCCTCCTTTTATGAAGCTTACCATATTCTCATCCTGTTGGAATGGAAACACATCAGCAATACGAATTTGTAAGCATTATAAAGGGCTTTTGTCTTCTTGAGGTGAACACATACCTGGAGCATAACCAGCATGACACAGACAATATAAACCTCTGAGGCACATCACATGGATTTAGGATTTCCTTTCTGTATTAAAATATTATTTTACTCGGTTCAGACATAGGCACTTTATTTAGATTTTGTGATCAGTTTAGCCCTTGTCCCCTTTGGACCATTTGCATTAATGTACACAGAGACTATGTTAATGAATGTCACCTAAGGTACATGCATTTGTGGCTCTTTCAAAAAATAGCTTTCTCTCATTTGTCCTTCAGCACAGCTCAGATGTGCCTGGTGCTGAGCCAGGAAATCTTCACGAGTAACTGCCTGTCCTCAGGAATCTACAGAACATATTTTCATATCCCAAAAAGGGAAGCAGGGTCAGTAAAGTTACACAGGATATGCTCTTTCTGGCCTGAATATTCATATATATGAGATGGTAACATGTTACATTATAAGCTATAACAAACTGAGAAATTACAGCAAAGCATGTCTGGGGGACCATTAAAGACTCTTCAGTCTCTTAACTTTCTGGTGCCAATTTCTTGCCTCACTCACCACATATAGTCTGTCATTCTGGTTTGCTTTGGTATCTGCTGTTACTCTGGGACAGAAAGTCTGTATGTGTTTTAACAGAAGATACCAGCACAGAAAAATCATAAGAAGCTCTAGAGAGCATTGTGGAGAAAACAGCATGGATTAGATGAACTAATCCAAGTACAGCACACCAGGGGGGTACAGAATTCCTAACCATGTGTATTGTAACGTTTCAGTTATTATTTTCCTTTGAATGGAAAATGGAACAAGGAAAGAAGATGGTTTTAAAATGTTTATATTCAGAATGCTCATGACACCAACAAGAGGGACAGCCAACGTGAGAATTGTCCAGCCCTTGTAAAATGCTGAGATTCATTTTCACGTGTTTTCAAATGACCATTTGGTCATTTACATTAAGCATCAAAACTAACCCCCTTCAATACCTGTTGGAACCAAGTGCCTTTTTTTAGTTTCTAAAACTAGTTCATGTGTTCATGAAAAATTAAACACAAAATAGAAAAGGAAGCAAATAGACCTTTGCAGAAGAGGACAAGAAATTATTTTCTTACTGTGAAATCCCCCATGTATCTATAAACATTTTTAAAAACAGATACCTGTGAAAATAGTGCTTAAAACAAAGAGACATTGCTCTAAAATGCTCCTTTCTTACAGGCACAGTGGAGAAGTCTCAAAAGTCTTGCTTCCACAAATCCAGACATCACCCAAATTGCCCCCTGTGCTAGAGGCTACTCATCCCAAAAGATCCCAAAGGGAAATGGAAACAGGTAGCTACACCTTGGCCATTTCAAAGTCCACCATCAGCACTCTAGAAACTATAAAAGCTCCTCTGATTACAGGTGTTACTATGAAGCAGCAGTTTCTAGCAGAGGGACACAGCAGATTGCTGAAAAAGGTTACACAGCCCATAAACTGTCATAAGCAACATAAATCAGAGCCCACCTGGCAACTCCCAAACACTATAAAACCACCACCTGCATTCCATTTCCTACCAGCACCACTGAGCCAAGAAACATTAGGCTTTTCTGACTGTGACTTTTATTATCCCCTTAATAGGTGAAGAGGCCCACTTTTATACAGCAAGTACAGTCAAATCAAGAATAAAAGTCAGTTATTTCAACTGAGATTAACAATGTAAATTGCATGCTGGAGCCCAAGTAAGTACTGCTAATGTTGCTCCACCAAACAAATCAAGCTTCATTAGTACAGAGATAAAATTCAAAGAAGAGGGAGAACTCCCCTTTTCTAGAAGACAGGCAGCACTGTTAAGGAGAAAGCACGTGTGGAGCCTAACAGCTATACAGTTCAAGAACACACCGGTGAGAAAGCACTCTTGGGAAAGCAAACACCAGCCAGACTAAAGCAAAAAACTCACTTGTATTCCAGCACAGCTTCAATGACCATCTCTTCATTTTTTAAATCTGATATCCCAATACACAGTATTTGAAAATTGGTGCTTACTGCAGTTACATTTCATACATGAGTGTGAAATGAGAGTGGAGAAGGGTATCATAGGGCACTCAGCACTGTTCCAATATCCATACAGGATCCAGATTAAATAGCCTTACACCATTAAATCAAACTAGTCTTCCACTACATCATTAGTTTAAGAAGAGAAACCTGTATGGAATGCACTTTTTTCCCCCCACAAGCCACACAGACATCCATACCTGGAGGAATGTGAGTGCTGCTCTCTGGAGTAAACATTCAGCATAGCAGATTTCTGCATGGATTTCCTCTAGTGTCACCCAGAGAGGAGAAGAAAACAAACCAATCAGTCAAAAAGTAAGAAAAACCCCCTCAGCCCATTAATATAGGAATAAGATCACAAAGCTCAAATTGAGAAAAATATTATCCAAATTTGATGTAGTGTTTCAGTTCCAGACTACTGATGTCATTCCAAACAGAAATGAAACACAGTTACAGAAACTTTGCAGGAATGTATCTGGTGCTTTCTATGAGCTCCTGGATCTAGGACCTTTATAGCCATTTCAATACTTCTTTCTAGGTATTTCTTTACCTGGCAATTTTTAGGAGTGCTGAGTCAGCAATCAACAAAACCAGTGATTTTGGATGTGGTTATATATTCAAGCTCACGAACTGAGTGAACACTTGCACCTGATTCAAACTGCATAAATAAAAAGAGTAAAACATTTTGCATGTGAGAGATATATTACCTTCAGTGAAGTGTTCAAGGCTTTGTCTATGTACAAGGTTGTTGATAGAATCAGCTACTGTAGATTTCTTCCTAAATCTGCAAAAAAAGTCCATTTGGTCATTCTGAACATGAAGCATCAACAACAGAGAACAACAGTATCTTCCAGCTGGTCCCCCCCACAGTCACTAACATACCTGTAGTGCTCACCAACCCTCTGTCATCTCACCACATGCAAACTTCAGCATATTCCATAAGAGAACTTAGTCAGCATGGTCCTCCTGAGATCTGTTTTATCCTTCATGCATGGAAATATGTCTTGATGAAGGAAGGGAATAAAGGGTGGGGATGATTTTTTTGTGGGTGGGTGGGTGGGTGCATGTCCGTGGGGGTGCAAAAGTTGACTCAAAGACAGGGAACTGCAGCACAACCATCACCCATGGGAACATTCTGCAGTGTCTGCACACTGTAAGTAACAACTTCCAGACACTGCAGAACCAGGACTACAGATAGGACTAAAGTCTAATTGACAAGAACAATCAGATATTGTGGTAAACTGAAGTTTTCAAGACTAGACTGCTGAACACTCTAATTTATGTGCTGTGACCTCCTAAGTGACCCTCCTCTGAGTGGGAGGCTGGACTAGATGACCTCCTGATGTCCCTTCCAACCTCAGCTTTCCTATGATTTCTAAGAAATTATATTTCCTTTTTTTAACTTGTATGCCTTTCAAACCTTTATCAGGAAGCAACTATTTACTGACTGAATTGCTCCACGCTTACCTTTGACAGGTGGCCTGAGCTTCCTTCATTGTGTTTCCTGCATTCAGTATGTCCTGAGGATCAAATGTCATCATAGCTTGCATTTCCAAGATGGTGGCGTAAGTCAGGGCATGATACATGCTGTCTTTAGTCCTGAAAGAAAACACAGGGTGCAAAGCACAGCTGATTCCACTGCACTACTGCTTGGAAAAAAAACCAAACACAAATCCAGTTCCAGAAATGTATCGGCCTGATGGGAACGAGGTCTAAATCAAACATAAAGGACAATGCAAATTAATCAAGAAACAGTAACAGATTGAGATTTCTACATGAAATCATGTCTGCTGCTCCAGTTTCAATAGCTCTGCAAAAAATGTACCAGTTCTGAGCTGAGGGGTAGGTATTTAACGAGCAAAGCACAGGAATTAACCATGTGGCCAACCATTCAGAGACAACAGAGGCTTTTTTAATGGAGTATCTCATGAATACTGCAACACATGACACAAATCCAGATGATATCCTTCTATTTTGGGAGAGACAGACTCAAGGAGATAAGTAACACAATACTATAAACATGGCCAAAATAGAATCTTCTTGAAACAAATCTTCCCACCAGAAGCATTAGAGTCTATGTCAAATATTACCCTTTTTTTTCCTCTTCTCCCCTTCTGCCAACCTTCCATCCCAATCTGTTCAACTTAAATATTATTCTTTGGGGTTTCAGATAGTGCCTTTTTTGCAGAATGTAAAAAACTTTGGCATTAGTGCAAGTAAAATAATTAATTCCTATGTGCAGCCATTGCTCATCTTTCCTCTCCCAGGACAGAGGGTTTTATATATTGCACATATTTAAAGCATTCAGCCAGTACCTATGTCTGGTATAATCCTCTGCAAATGAATCAAAATGTCTTTGGGCACTGAGATTTAATAAAGATGACTTGAGAAATATGTTGAAGGGCAAGCTCAGATAAATTCCTAGCACAGAAACTCTCTGTAGGCCTTGCTAATCCACCCCTGACAAACAGCATGACTTAAGACAAATACTGCTAAGGAGCAACAACTGCTATTTTAATTGTTTACACTCTAGAACGGATCAGATAGCTCTGAATGGCAGGGAATATTCAAAAATACTTGCAGTCAAACAAGGATATCCTTTTCACAAAATCTCCACCCTCAGCACACCTGTTCTCAAAACATGTACTTCAGGTGTCTCTCAAGACAAGAAAATAACTCCATTTTCTTTTCCTTCCAAGGAGCAAGTGGTGTGCCAGCAACGTGCCCTTGGCAAAACCAGGGCTGCACTGAGAGCAGTGTTGCTGTCTGAACATTGGGAAAATCTTCTTTACTATCAGGGTGACCATGCACTGGCACATGTCATCTAGAGAGCTTGTAGAGTCTGTATCCTTGGAGACATTCTGGACACAATCCTGTGCCTAGGTGGCCCTGCTTGACTATGTGACCTCCTGAGGTCTCTTCCAACCTCAACTACTCCAATTCTTTGGTTTTGTTTCAAGGAGAAAAGCCAGACTTTAAAGACACCTCAGTCCATTTGATTCCATCCCTGGAAAGGCACCTGCCTCCCCAAGTTTTAATAACTGGACCGAACTGAAAGACAAATTCATGGATAACTTCAGACAACCCTACATTAAGCAATGAGCTTATAACTCACCATTGTGACTTGGATGCCTCTAAATTTTCTAATAATTTGTATATTATTATGCCTTAATTACTTTCCTCAATGGATTGCAACACCCTTAAATATCCTTAGGCTTAGGAGTCCCTGATGTTTGCTTAGTATTTTCCAGAATCAAAAAATAAACCTTGTCTACACCTAAAGCAACCCCCTCTCAATGACATTAAGCAATAAAATAACCAAAGAACAATACAAGTGGTGATAAATCCTGACCTCCTTTGTGTATATATATATATTTTGAGATCTAGGGATTAAAATACCACCTAGTGTTGGTGCTGGCAGCATTACACAGGTGCTTCCCTTGCCTCACACCATCAAGGGCTACTTTTTCCAATACACTGGTACAGAGCAGGTTGGTTGCACTGAAGAATTTTGCAGTGCACATCTTTAAACTTCACCGCAGTCTGTGCTCTGTGGCTGCCCTTAATTCCTACTTGCCCTCACCATCTAAACCAATCTAGCAGAAGAGCTCTTTTGGGAAATCACCCAGTGCCATAAGTGCTATAAACCCCACACTATGCTCACATCCATCTCATTTGCAAGGTAAGAAGAACAGAGAGATAATAGAGAAATTAATTTAAAATCCAGTGGAGTCAGGACAGCTCTGTCTTGGCCTCACACATCATGATTTTTTCAGTACACTGATAATGAAAAGTAGGGAAAAAAGAGAACATATTATAAAATGCCAGTCTGATGAAGTGTTCCTGTTTGTTTGATTATTCATCAGCCTCAGTGCAGAAAAACACACTTCATCTTGTATTTCCTAAACTAAAACCCTTCCAGAGGTTTAAATTCAAAGCACAGGGGAGGGACTGAAATAGTACCCTTTCAAAACTATAGAAATTTGCTTTCAAAATCAAAGTAAATAAATATTAACTTCACTGCACTAAAAGGAAAATTGGTTCTATTTACGTATATGTGATGAAGATTTCTCTATCCAGTAATTTGTTTCTGATACCAAATCACCCCTTCCCTAATCAATGGTTTCATCCATGTTGCTTCTAATATTTGAAGGAGATAGTAATTAATGTCTGTCATTAGTCAACTGGTATTTATCAACATTCAAATTTTTATATGCCTGTAGAAATGCCACCAAATGTAACTTATCTATGTTATTTCTACTAATCATACAATTAAAGTTGCCAGTTACATCCTGGTGTATTGCCAGGAGTTTTAAGGCCTGGGTTTTATATGGATGGATACAGAATGAAACTTAATAGCTTTTTATTTTCCTTCTTTTGATTCCTCAGCAGCACTTTCCTCAGGACACTGTTGGAGTTAACAAGCCCGTATGACATAAATACAACTAATATTGTGATTAATAACTTATTCCAGTAGTTGGTATCACATGACTGAATAAGAGGATTATAAGTAATATCTTCAGGCACTTATGGAGTTCTGCCACATGCCTCTTCTCCAGCTTTGGTGCAGCACTGCCCTTTCTTGGAGCTGGTTGGAGAACACTTTTATTCCTGCTGGAAAACAAGTGCTTAAGTGAGGACAGTGACAGCTCTCCAGCTGAAGTCAAAAAGCTGACCTCAGAATTAACCTGGGTCTAGTAATCTTTTGTGAAAAACACAGTGCCCAAAATCTTTTTTTGGCTAAGCCGTTTCCCAAAATTTGGAATCTGATAAGTTCTTCCAGCTAAAAGAAGAAACTAATAATTAAGTCAGGTTTTGGTAGCAATTTATTTATTAACTATAAAACTGGTGTTCTTCCAGACTTCAGGCATAAAAAGATAGAAAACCCTAGAAAAAATAACCTTTTTCATGTTCTTGACATTCTTCACAGTAAATAGCTAACTCAAGCTTTCTGCAGAGCTGTGCAACTTATTTATCCAAACACAGTGTAGGGCTTCATCTTACCTCTCTGTGCTTCCCCTTATTCTTTCACCACTCTCTGTTAGATAATCTCACATCTTTGTGAGATCAGTTCCCAGAGAAATCTCCTCCACCCCACTGAACAATCTCATGTTTGTTTTTGTTGTACAAGGTCAGGACCATTCCACCACACCATGAAGACAGCCATTACAAAAGGTTGCCATTCCTTAGTAACCTCTTTAAACTTTTTAAAGATCAGAATATACAAGATAACATTTAATATTGTAAAATGGGCATATATTTTAAAATTCCAATGATAGTAACTCTTACTACAGTAAGAGTAGTAACAGAGCTCTACTATTCCAACACGATTGTCATAACTACCTGAGCAGTAACACGATCTCTTCACACCTACCTGAGATACTCCCACATCAAATGACTGAATTTACCTTTCAAACACGGTCATTCTAGAATTAATATTCCACCAAACAACACCAAATGCTTTTTGGAGTCTATTTTCAGAATAAAGTCAACTGCCTGGAATGAATCCTTGCTGTATTGTTCCTACAATACTGCAAGCAGCAACACCCGTGCTGTAGCTCATCCGATGGTCCAGATAATTCTGTCATGAATTTGTCTTATTCACCATTCTCCCAATTGATTTGACATCAACAAACCATCAGGTGATTATGCCCTGCTTCCCTTTAGGATAATTATTAAAATATTGTCCTGGGAAGGGGAGTTCTCACCAGAATCAACTCTTTAATTTATTATCTGTTTGCAATGACACAAGGGTTAAAATCCAGTCAGCATTTAATCAATTTACTGTGTCTCAGGGTTGAGAAGGATGATGAGATTTTTCTTCTCCACTCCAGTGACTGACAGTTCCAGTGTTACTCATGGTTACAGTTAACACACCATATATTGAAAATCACTGCTGTGCTTGGTGACTGCATTTAAGGAATTTCTTAAGAGTTCTTAGATACAGTGTAAGTACTCCATATAAAAGATTAATTTAATCAAACTTACTACAGAAAGCACAAGATAATCAGAACCCACTGTTGTACTAAGATTGCTAATGATAATAAAGAATATTGACTCTAAAAGCTAAAAGGTAGCTCAGGAAACAAGAAAGGTTATATAACATGAAACTAAAACACCAGATGTATTTTTCTATGAAATGAGATCTCTTCATTATGATGGATTTGCTTTTCTAACAGGAAAAAAAGAGCTTTACCTCAACACAAGTCTAGACACCATCCTCAGATATTTATTTTTAAGCTGCTAGGAAAACTCTTCTGATTTTAACTCTCATGCGTTGCCAAATCTGCTGTTAGCTTCACATGGTACAAATTAGTTGAAAATACACTTATTGTGGAAGCCAAAAGTGAGTAATTTAATGAATCTGCACTAATGTAACACAGAGCAGAGTATCTCCTACACCATAAGCATTAAACCTGCAAAAATCTATGATATGAAATTCTTCACAAGCATACAAAAACTGGAAAGTATTTCTCCAAACAAAGATAGTATGTTTATGGACTGTGGAAACCAATTTCAAATCTCAGCACACTAAAAGGGAACCGATGGCTCCTAAAGAAAATCCACAGTACTACTATGTGGAGTACTCCCCTCTCTACAACTCTTCTCATTCCTTAAAGAGGTGGACTGTGTCCACCAGTGGATATCATCAGTGGGGAAATTTAGCATCCTGTTTCTCTGCTGCACTCACAAAAATCATGTCTGTATTTCCCTCACTGGCAAAGGCAACAAGAATAAGGGCCTCCTCATAACAACAGGTTAGCATGGAAAATTGCTTTCAAAATGGGTTTGCAGTGTGGAATATAGTCAGGTATAAAAACAGAGTATCAGCTCATGAAATATGCTCTGCAGAGCCCAGCTAAAGCTGAATGAAAACCACATGCAACAGAAGAAAAATGGATTTACAGAAAAAAATGACCCACAGCCTCACTAGCTTTTGCAGTGTTTTGGAAACCCCCTTCAATAAAATACCTCCTTATTTTATGCTAAGCACTGAGTAAGCATTTCCAGATGGGCACAGGGGCTTTACTGTCAGAATTTAATGAAAACACAGTTTTTCTTCTTACTGTTTTTATTATATCTTCTGATGATATATAAACACTAAATAACACTCTGAATAAAACCAGCATTATTAATACAGCTGACACTACAATTTATCATGAATGTCTTTCCCAGAATGTCCTTACATGGTTAAGCTACAGATTATGGCATCAAGTATGAGGCTGATACCTCAGCAAAGCAGATATGTAGCATTCACTGTAGTTACCCTGACATGTAGCAATTACCTACAAATTTTACTTGTTTCATATTCCAGTGTCCTAAAAGAAGGCATGATGTAATTTGCTGATGGCTCAAAAACAAATGGAGCAAATAGGGTGGGTGGGGGGAAATCTGAATTAACCACAGACTGCAACAAGAGCTCAGGTAACATCGGGACAGGGCATGACAGATCACAGACACTGGGAGACAACAGATTTCAGAAACTATTTTATGATCTCACTGCTTGCAGCTGGGCCACTCATTAAATGTAGGACTGCAACATAATTAGGAAACAGAGTGCGTGACCACAGTGCTGAATTGCAAAATGAGCTGTGAGAAGGTTTCTGCAAATGGTTATTAAAAAACATTGACAAAAAAAAGAATTCCTACCTAATGTGACTCAAACCTTCAATTCATGGTCAGTTGCTAATTTAGACACAAAATTATAGATTTTTAAATTTTCAGAATATGCAGAAAAATATGGGAAAGGAGGCAAAAATAAAAGGTGATAGAGAATGGTTCTCATTCTTGCAGGAGCAAGAATCTCATATACTGCACTACAGTTGAAGGGTTACTTCTCTGGACATCAATTCCTTACTTCTGGCAGATACTTTTGATCAGTCTTGTTATTTACTCACCCAAGTGTAAAGCACTTATCTGTCTTCCCCAAAACTTAACACATCAACTTACCACCCCCTTCTGAATCAAAACCATAAAGACTTATCAATTATTAACAGAGAACCAGCTGTCTAGTCAAAAATCTCCTGAGAGATGGTGAAGCAAAGAAAAATAAACAGAGGAAAACTAGTAAAACTTATCAACTTACTTTGCTTGTAAAGAAGCCAAAGCATCTGAGAATTTGTTGTTAAGAAATAAATCCAGAGCTGCCATACATTCACGCAGTGCCACGTTGAGGTCTGATGTAGGTGACCTGCCAGAAGAGACAATAAACTCAGCACATCTGTTCTCCTTCTACCAGCGCATTACTGCTACATTTGAACTCCCTTCTTCAGTTCCAGCCTTATTGCCATGCATAACCTGCTATTCCATTTCTAGGGACAGCAAAAAATGCAAGTGAATTCCACTATGTTTGCGGATTTGGTTTTTTTAAAAAACTATGCCCTTACCAAGTAACACGCGAAAAGCAATTTTAAGTTTTCTATTTTCTGAAAATAAGACAAAACTGCACCTACTTGACACAAGCACTTGGACATGCAGAGGTTGCCATGTGGGAGCACAGCAATTTGATGAGCTCAGGTATCAGCACACAGGAGCACTGGGTGACGATGCACAGCTGACTGTAAGGCTGACAGACCACAGGCTGGTGACATTACGATCATGTTGTCACTTTAAGGATGAGACACTGCCAGTCTGCATCAGATTATTGTACCAACTGCTGCTGGAACACCTGCTTTAGTTCAGCTCACGTCCAGGACGTTCCTGTGCAATTGACCACTACAAACTCACAGGTGGGTTAAAATTTCAAGTTGTGCTTGCCCCTGGGAACATCACTGTCCCTAGGAAGTGCCACCACACTCAAAGAAAAAAAGGCTGCTGCTGCTGCATCTCAAAGTCAGAAGACTCTCAGTGGCTTAGTCTGGCTGTACTTTTCTCCTTTACAACATTCAGATGTCAGCCTGACCCATCACAAGGGTTCTCAGCTGGTCTTTAGGTTACTGGCAACAGGATAATACAGACCAGCTGAGTCAGTTTGGCCCAAGTTCATCACCACCAGAGCTGCTGGACAAAAAAAATCCACAGAAGAAACAATAAGGCCTTGCACTAACAAAGTTAAGGTCACCTGGCCAGTATTAGGACAGTTAAAACATCTGCATTTAATGATCAAAGAGCTATACTGCACTGATATGTTGTATACAAGTCTGTACAAAACATCCTCCAACAAAATACAAACAAATCGCCATCGTGTTCCTGACTCCAAACAGCTCTAACTAATGTGATCTATCTTGTGACTTGGACACCGTGTTAGTTCCTTAAAAATGGCACAACACAGACTGCTGAAAGCAAAAACAGAAAGCAAAGCCCTGATATCATCTTAAGGAAAAGGCAGGGGAGCACAGAGCTAGCAGATAACATCAGTAATAACCATCCACTGCAGCAGTGGTTTGGTTTTGGTTTAAGAATAATGACTGCAAAGAAATAAAGAGCATAATTGTATATATATGAAAAACTGGACTGTAGAACTGAGAAAAACACTATGTGGCATTGCTCATAGTGGCTGTTGTCATCACATTTCAGATAAACTGCAAATCCTTCTGTACCCAGGACACTCTCCAAGTGCTTTGCAAATATTGATTAACCAAGTCTTGGCATCCATCTCATACAATATGCAACATCATGTCCACCCAACTATTCTGAGCCCTACTTAATAATTAAAACTTTATCAGTTATTGCTTACATGTACCTAAAACTCCTACCTTCCTTTTTTAAACCTGTGTCCCTGAACCAAAGAGCATATTTAACACGGTAAAAAACACATTCTCATCTGTTTTAAAATATTTAGACTAGTAGCGTTTTACCTGGGCTTTTTGTTTGCTCGTTTCTTGTCATGCAGGAGAATTACCCCATTCAATACAAATAAACCTTTTCAAAATATTCCTTTGAAACAGGAAGATGACAAAGAAAAAAAAAATCACTGCTGAAGCTCAAAGCACAAATAAGATATTCATTACTTGGTATCTTGGAATAAGAATTAACAACACAGTGCCACCCACAGCAGCAGCAAAAACACAAGCTGCACGTTTTCCTCATGCTCCAAGGAAACCTGCCATCGGCTGTAGCTCCCAAGTCAAGGGCTCTAGACCTGAACACAATACACACCTTACCTAAATGCTACAAATCATCATTTGTCGCTGTTAGCAACAGGGAAGAAACACTTCAGAGTCGACAGTGCTCAGCATTTTAGCAAACTGATTAGTCATGCTTCGGTGGGCTGCAGATTCTCTCCTGCTTCCAACAGCAGGATCAGAACCGCCTCTAAGCCAAATGGAAACCGCCGTGTGCTGCTCCTTACCTTTCTGCTGAGTCTCTTGTGTTTTCTGACATAGTCATTGCAAGCCCACTCAGCGTTCAGGCACGGACATCCAGCAGCACCCGGTGCTACCGGAGCCAGCTGCGAGCGCAGGGCAGCGCCTGCTGCGGCACCGCACTCCCGACTGGACACTACGGGTGAGAGCACGGCACTGGGAGCATCACTAGCTCACCGGCACCGTCCTGCAAACGAGCAGGTTGGATGCCGGCCTGGGACACGTGAAGTTCGTACACGGCTGGATCCCGCTCAGGGAGGAGGGGCTGGCACTGCCCGCGCATCTCTGATCTACGGACCTGTCTGCAGCGAGCGGCAGCATCGCCACCTTTCATTCAGCACAAACCGGGCAGAAGCCAAATATCCCTGTAATTACAGAGCTGAGACAACAAGAATTACTGCATGTGGCAGTAATTGGAGCACATCAGGAGCCTGCAAACCAGAACGAAATTCAAGCGAGACCAGCCGACATGCAGGGCAACTGAGGCAAAACTGCTGCAAATGTGAGAAGCACACCGGCAAGAGAGACAAGCAAGTAATTCTTCCCAGCAAGGATTCTCTGTTTCAATCCATCAGCCAAACTACTGCTTGTTGTTAGTTCCTGTGCTTTTGGGAGGAACTGACACTCTACATGCTCTTTGTAAAAATCTGTCTTTATTGCCATGGAAAACGAGGAGAGTTGGCATTAACAATTTAATCAGTGGAGTGAGCTCATCTGGCTGATTTTGTTCAAAATAAAACTGTATGCTCCCAAACTGCTTTGCTGGCACATCAGCAGTACTGGCCCTGTCCATAGCTACAAGTAGCAGAAGCTGCTCATAGTCCTCTCAGTATGACAGCTGGACTGTAGAAGTTATCAGCTACAATCTACACAGATAAAATAATTTCTCCAAGAGCATCTAATGTCAAAAATTATCCACCTGCTAGATTACACAAAGCAGTACCAATAACGAAGACATACGCTGCCGAAGGAAGACCCAAAAATGATAAACCAGCAAAGGACAATTCCAGGAAGATACCCTGAATCCATTAACATTGCTGATTAAATCTCTTGCTGGTTTTATGGTATCCTGGAGAGGAAAAGCCTTGTGGTGCATTTGGTATAAAAATTACTGTAACAGGTCCACAGGTTGCCCCATTAATGACTCTATTACATGTTCCTAACAGCACTATGTACCTGGGCCACAGCAGGAGATAAAAGACATTACCAGGTTTTTTTTTTCCCCCCCCAGTTGAGAATAACTACTGGTTACAACTTAAAATTAACTAGGTGCTTCCATGGCAGGATTATGAGCTACTCTGAAAAGATTATCCATTATTCTCACTAGCTTACTGTACAATTCCTAATTAATATTGTATTCTCCAAATGGACCTTAAAGCCCTGTCTGGTGAAGGCTCTGGCTGTTTCTGCCAAGTTCTTCAAGACTTGAGTTGGCAGGTTTTTATTTGAATACCACTTCTCTAGAAACAATTATATGCTCAGACAACCTTCAGCATGAAACCTCTCCTTCCCTACACATAGCTATGTCTTCTTTTAACTAAAGAAAACAGATCTAAAAAACTAAGATCTGAAATGTTTCCAAATGTAGGCCATTTCCCCCTTGGGTTTACATGGTTCTTTCCTTTTTTGCTTGTCGGCAGCAGGTTTTGCAAGGATAGTCATGTGGTTCTCCTTGTGGTTTTACTTATGAAATCTTCATTCCCTGCCCCTCCTTTTCAAAAGAAAATAATTACATTTTCCATGGTCAAAAGGAAGGGGATGGAAGACTTTTTGAGTGTGGCAGTTACTATATTTATGCGTAATTTTATTTCACCGTGTACACGATGTTGACTGTTTTCTTACTATAAGTTTGCAGTGCATAAGCTTTATGAATTGTCACTGGGTTTTACAGACTTCAATAAAAAAACCACCTTGAACCTTGCATTGTGCAAAATGCTGAACTACTCAGTCGACCTCAGCGATTATCAGAACTTTACAAAAAAAAGGTAAGTCTGAAGTTTGTGCCTTTATAGTAATGCTTTTGATAGTAATTCAAAAGCATCTTCAGTACTGTGAAACACTGTAAGCAAGTTAAATCAGTCATATCCTAAAAGATTAATGCATTTCCCTGCCAAATCTACCTTATCTGCATAAGTCAGCTGAGGTAGCGTGCATGGGTAACTTCATGTGGAGGAAGAGAATAAAATACAGAATCAAGCACCACTAAGCTAAACTAATAAGAATGGCCAGTCTTCGCGAGCGAAGATTATTATTAAACTAAACCAATACTTGATGAGAAACCAGCACAAAGCAGCCCATGTGCTGGGGACTCCCCTCCATTATCAGGAGACTCCTGGAGCGGAGAGCAGTGGACACACACCCTGTTTCCCCAAATACAGGTTAGTTCCAAACATGTCCAGCAAGTGAGATACAAGATCAGAGAAAAGCGTTTAATGAAATGATTATATTCCTATCCCAAAGAAATTTCACAGGTAAATCTCTGTGATCGCACCAGAGACTCTGAGCTGGCTCAGTAATGACTGAGACTGCTTTCACCTTATTCAGAAACAATAACAGAACTACTCTAATAAAATTCTGGGTTCATTGATGTAATACCTGTACCACACAGTTGCCTTCTGCTCCTGCTATCCCACTGAAACACTTTTTTTTTTAATTACTATAATTTCAGCTCAAAAGTTTCCTGATAAGTAGTTTTGAGGTATTTGCTCTTTATTCTATACACCATCCTTCACTCCCTTGGTATCAAAGGTTCTCTGTGTAATACACATTTCGATAATGTTACTCTTATGTTATTAAAAGGAAGCACAAACACTCACAGTGGTGATAAACATTTCTGCATCTCTTTTAAGCCACCTGGCAGCATAACTTACTACTATGATGGTGGAGAAGAGCTAAGTATGTACAAAGAAACAACAATTAGCATTAGATTATTTCTATCATTGAATCATTAAGGTTGGAAAAGACCTCCAAGATCATCGAGTTGACCAAAAGCCACCATGTCAACCAAACCCCAGCAATCCAACTTATCCTTACAAAGAGATCTAGAGGGCGGCTTCTTGCCACGTGGTCAGAAAAAGAAAGCAATAAATTCTTAAACAACCTCCTTACAGAATATTAAATGGAACTGAAAAGAAATTAGTCTCACGTGCCCAAAGGACCTTCATTTTATCCAAAGAGGATATTAAACCATATTAAACCACAACACCGTGTTGCTCCCTACCAACACTGTGCCTCTCGGGCTACCAAAACTTCACCCGTTCACACACGCGAGGAGCCTCCCAGAGCACATTTCAAAGGTCTGCGTTTCAGTACGAAGGAAACTTCCCCGTCAGCCACCCAGCAGCCACTCTGGCAGCCACACTCCCACCACCTGAGCTGGGACCGAAGCCCCCTCACAGCTACACCCACAGTCAAGCCAGGTTTCCTTACCGGCTCGACACCTGGTTTCCCATCGCAGTCTCAGATGTGCCAATCCTCAGAATAACTTAACCTCGGTGCGATAAATCTATAACAAAATAACAGCTCGAGCTGGTGCCTCTGAGGAGGGACCTGGACAAAGGAACCCCTGGGCTTTTATACCCTCACAGCCCAAGGGCGGGGGAAGTCTGAGGGTTATTGTCTCCTCCTGTACCTCCGAGCACGCGGTCCCCTGGCTGGGCCCTTTGTTGTGCAAAGGGTGGGCACTTCACGGCCTCTTGGCTGGGGCTCCTGCCCCCCAGAGCTCAACCTGCAGCTGCACCCAGAGCTGCCGGCACCTCAACAGGCCCGTCCAGCACAGGAACACAACCCGGCTGGCTCATCCATGGGCCACCACGTGGCGTGGGAAGCACCATAACTGACCACCAGGATGCCCTTCCCATCGCTTGGTTTCACAAAGATCACAGCTGAATATAGAAACGCTTGCCATGACACCCATTTTCTGTTCTCCTAATGCTGGATAATCACAGAGACATCAGGAGATACCAGGGTTACCTCCTTTAGCTTTTTCAAGTTTGCCAGGTCATTCCTAAATCAAACTGCTATTTTTCTAAATAGATGACTGCTTTTGAGCAACGTGCTGTAAAAGCTAGGAGGCTGAAAAAAATATGCCTACATTCAAAGAAAACAAAAAGCACATCACTTGGGAAGAATTCTTTTCCTCTTCTGCAAACATTTCCAAACCCACATGAGATCAGAAATAATCTTGGATGAAAAGAACAAGTAAGCAGTTCTCACAATAATTTGTTACTATTCAGTTTTGAGACAATACAGAAATTTCTTCCTAATTCAAAAGCAAATAAGTTAATGCAAGAAAATTAATTCTACCGTATCCCTTCCTGTTCTATGTGCCAAGCTGGTAATACCTCAGCATTTATCTTTCTGTGTTCTTGAACAGTTTTCTGGCCCACAACGAAGACTCCTCGGCGCTGCAGAAATGCCATTACTTCAACAACAAAGCAACTGGAAAGGTTTCAATATTCATGTTCTCCAAATATATGTGCATAGGGACACAACAGTGATGCAATTCTGGAATTCAGGATATCTTAGCATTTCAAGTTGTACATGGAGTATGACACCATTTATTTTTGAGGTTAACTCAGCTCTCAGACCACTGAGTTATTGATGCCTCAGCAATGTCAAAGGTCTTTTGCTAAGAAGATACTCAAGATTTTGGCCCTTCTGTTCCAGCAAAGGCTCACAAAGCAAAGGGATGTGGCAAAGCAGACAAGTGAGCAGCAAAAAGACCAGGGAATTGGCAGACTTGTGTTCTGCCTCTGGTCCATGTTTAACTTGGACCAAGCAGGATCTAGGCTGCAATACATTCACAGTTCTCATCCTTATTTGAACAGGCAAACAATGCAATAAATTCATTAAGATAGGTTTGTTCAGACAAATAAAAAGTATTGGTGTCATTTCTGCAGTTCCCTTTCCTTGTTGTACTACCAGGACTGCTCACAGAGGGCTCAAGGCACCACTGTGGGTGATTTCTCCCAGTTAGTAGAGATGCCTGCATCAAACAGAATGAAGACACACAATATAGTCTGGTAAATTGCAAATTACAAATTATCAACCCAAGCATCCTGCGAACTGCACTAACCTATTGGAATGTACCAATTAAAAATTACCTCACACGGAGTCAACATTGAAATAAAACAAATATACTCAGCATCACAGAAATTTACAGGATAGCTGCAGTCAAGAGTAAATTTTAATCAAAA